TTTTAGTATATGCTTGATCTTGAAGCATCACTGCTGGAACATTTTTGGGGAAGAAAATTTTGAGTTTAAGGAGAGGAATTTCTGAAATTTAATGGAAATAAATGTGTTTAGTTACTTGATTTATTCTAACCAATTAATTAGGACACCTAAACCCCTTAATTAATGAATTAAGTCCAACTTCACCCTAAACCTCTTAAATCCGCCACCCTCTCTCTCATGACTCACCAATAACTTTCCACTCACCCAAATTAAATTAAACCATTTGTACACCTATTTAGCTATAAAGAAATGAAGAATATATATATAGAAATAGAGTGCATGGCTGCCATTTTATTAGTTCAAAACCATAGCTCACAAACAAGAGAGAAAACAAAAGCGAGAAAGAGTGAAACGACAAAAGAGGAAAGGAAAAGAAAAGAAAGAAGGCAAAGCCAAGGAAATTTTAACCATACCTAAGCTAAGTAAATGGGTTTCTTTGGTTTGTTTATGTGTTTACATGCTCATTTTTATGTGTATAAGTTAGGTATTGTTTGAGTTGTTTGTGTATTGTTGAGCTTGGTTTGTGTTAGTGGTCGTTTGATGTCTTGGCTTGCTCTACTTGTGGATGTTTTGTAGGTGATGAATTGTAATGTTTATAATACCTAGTGCATGTCTAAGTATGTGAAAATGAGGTGGATTGGACTTGGACTGAAATTTAATTGGACTAAAACATGGTTAATGTGGGTTGGAATGAATGGCCAAACCGAGTGTTATTGAGGAGTAGTTTCGTCCGACTTTGGTATTGCCTATTCAAGGACTTTAGAATGATTTCTACATGAACCTCGAAGAATAAAAGTTGTTTATCTATGTCTTGAATAACTTTATGTAAAATATTTTCATTAGTAGGTTTATATAGGAAACGTTATGCTCGTTTTAGTACGGATCGTGTCTGGGTGAACTACTCGCTGGATAAATTGAATCTTAAACTTTAAAATTATGTTATGAATTTTGTGTTTGGTATTTAAACCTATTTTTTGGATATGTTATGAATAAATATGTCTAGTTTCTAATAAAAAAGATAGGATTTAATTATGCTCAAAAATTGGTACATCACCTACTTGATTATAGGTCGCCCTATAATAAACCACAAATTGAATAGGAGGGGAAAATGAATTTCTAGGGTTTTCACTAAAGAATCCTTTCGGCCTAAATAAGCAAATGAATAAGATTGAACCTATTTTATGTAATTAAGAGCATAGGACTCAATTACAATTTAATTAGGTATACATTAATAAGTTGGGATGAAAAAGTAATCTTTGGCCACTTTAAGGACCCATTTCGCTTAAACCCTAAACTCGTGGGGATTTAGATTTCAATCCTTTAATTCCATAATTAATGGTTCAATTACACTCTAATAAGTATAAGAGGATGTTTAAATAGGAAAAATTGCTCGGTAAACCAAAATTTTGACCAAGAACATTAAAAGCCCAATTCAGACCCAAAATGCCCCAATTTTGGGTTCGAAGAAAAAAAATGTCACCTTAATATGTTTTTAAACTGGTGTATGAACTATATGGGGAAACCAGTTTAGGTTGGATATTGAGAATGAAATAATGATGTAGATGGGTTGGATATTGAGGATGAAATAACGATGTAGGGTTTGATATCCAATATCCTTGGTACTCGTAATTATGGTATCACGTGCATCATGTGCATCAATGACAAAGAAATGAGAAAAAAATCAATTAATTGATAATGGAGTTGTATGAATAGGTTTGGTAACCTAATCAAAGAAAAAAGGGTTAGCGGTCTAGCCGTGTACGTACTCTAAGTCGTGTGATCGCACTCGTTAGGCAATGGATTCCCATTAGCGAGTGGCTACAATGAGGGATAATTTCATTGTTAGCATTCGGTGATTCGATAATCACCTATAGAGTAGACCGCTAATACCTGTGGTACCCGAAATTAAAAATTGATGAGAATGATGGGAAGTCGGAAAGCATTACATATCACGTGCATCATCCCATTTATTGAGCTTCGACTCACCTCGTTGTTATTTAAATGTTATGACAGGTAGCGGTGATCTGTAGTATCAATAAGGACAACTGTTGGGTCCTCCAAAAGGGCTCGGAGGTGACATAACCCTTAGAGGATTTTATTTTGTTTATAAATTTTAGGGTTGGGGTGTCGAGGAATATTTTGATGGTGCTCGTAAATAATATTTATAATTTCTTCTATTGTATTGTTAATATTATGTAAATTATTTTATATGCGTTTCGTGGTATGATAAATCTTTAACGTATGAGCACATATGTGTCTAAGGTTAATTCGAAGACCGGTCATGTCGGCGTGATGCGCCTCGCCTAGTTACTCCTATTTGGGTAATAGAGAGTGAACCGAGGTAGGGGCGTCACAAGCTCTCTGTAAAATTTTGTGATTTTTAGATTTATATATAAAGAGTCATGATCGATTTGGTACGGATCATTTGGATGTACCACTCGCTGAAAATTTTTGAGTTTAGGGAGAGCGATTTTCAAAATTTAATGAAAAGAAATGAGTTTAGGTACTTAAACTTGGTTAGTTAAGGTGTTTGGTTAGCCTAAGTATTTAGTTAGACACCTAAGCCACCCTAATATAACCATATGGGTTTGAAAGATATGTATGAATGAGTTTGGATTTAAAATAAAGTGGACTTGGTCTAAAACAAATTAGGCTTGGACTAAACTAAAAGGGATTTGGATTACAATCAATGGACTTGAGTTAAAATAAAATGAGCTTGGATTAAAATAAAATAGAATTGAATTATAATAAATGGACTTGAGCTTGGACTAAAACAAAACGAGTTTGGATGAAAATAAATAGACTTGGATATCCTAAGAACACTTAGTGGACCTTGGTACTCAAGTGATCAAGTTGGATTTATATTTATGGACCTAAAGATCTAGACTTCCAAGGTAATCCACATAAGTATAATTTAATACATTAAGATGGAAAGAAAGGACTTAAGAACAAAAGATAAACCTTTGCTCCTATTTGAACCATTCGGCCAAAAACCCTAGAACTCGGGTTTTGAACATTATTCACCCAAATTATGAATCAATGGTTTAAATATACTTAAGAAGGTATGAAATAAAGTGTAGAAAGGTTAGATCCTAAGAAAAATAGAAATTTGAATTTTATTAGGAGACACACGGTTTAAACCCGACTTTTAGAAATTGAGTTCCAAAATGGTTTCTTTGTACCGATATGGAATGTGGTAAATGTACGTGAAATGGATTAACCTTATTAGACGGGTTTTGAATTCCTTGTGTGAACTCAATGGTATGGAATCGACGAGTTTAGTACGATGACTTGGTGGAATGTGATTCATGATACATCACGTGCATCATATGCATATAGGAATGGATTAAATTGAGAAAAACCATTGAGTCAAAAGCGATGAGGTTTGGTAATCGAATCGGATGAAATTTGGGTAGGTTTAGTAACCTACTAGATAAAAAGGGGTATTAGCGGTCTAGTTGTTTGCGTACTCTAAGTTCGTGTGTCCGCATTATTAGACGATGGATTTCCGCTAACAGTGGCTACAACTACAACGAGGGATAATTTCGTTGTAGCAGAAGGTGATCTACGGATTACCTGGATCAAAAATAGAGTAGACTTGCTAATACCTGTGGTACCTAAAATTAAAATTGGATGAGTAAAAGTGGGAGAAGTCGGAAAATCATTGCATATCATGTGCATCACCCTACTTACCGAGCTTCGGCTCACTCGTGTTTATTTCATGCCATAATAGGTAAATGTGATACTAATGTTGATAATGAAGCTGCCGGTTCCTCCTAGAAAAAGGTTCATGCGTGACACGATAATTATATGATCTATATTTGCTTGTAAATTATACTTTGTGATTTTTGTAATGATATTCAATACATTGTATATGTATATAAGATTAAATTTTAGACTTAGATCTCTAAACCGTGGTGCACCCGAGTTACTCCTTTTAGATAATTGACGAGGAGCTTGGAGGCGGCATAAATAGTATTTTAGTAATAGTAATTATTTATTTTGTTTTAAGAATTGACACCACCATTATAAGAGGTGACAATGATAAAGGAGTAATGGTGGTAGGGGTTGTATAATAAAAATAATTATGAAAGAATAATAATAATAATAATAATTTAATTTAATTTTTTTTTTATCACTACCGCTAATGGTGATAATAGTGGTAATGAAAGCAGTAGAGATGGTGCTATAATAAAAGTGAAGACAATGATAAAGGAGTGATAGTGAAATATAATAATAATAATAATTTTTGTGTGATTTTTTTTTTTTATATTACCATTACCAATGGTGGTTGTGGTGGTGGTCATAGAGATGGAAGTGGTAGAAATAATTGATATATAATAAATAAAAATAATATATTATTATTTTAAAAGAAATAATTCATTTTCATTTTTCGTAACAATAAAATTATATTTAATTTTAATTTTTTCTTTATTTTTTTTACCAAATACCTACAAAATTTTATTTTCATTTTCACTATTCAATTACTTGTTACCAAACAACATCGTAATAATCTATCAAAAAATTGATGCATTTCAATAAATACACGAGAACTTATAAGTTTCTCTTTAATCAATATCTTAAGTAGGCTATAAGCACAAAATTAATATATTTAAGTTAAATTTCTTTCGCAAGACAAACTAAAAATTCGGATTTTATCTTTTTAATGTTATTAAAAAAACATAAAAACAGAAAAAAGAAGAAGCAAGTTTTCGTTTTTTTATCCAAAAAAAATTTATATTTATATTTTCAAATTAATCAGTCTCAAAATTTTACTACCTTGAAAAAAGACTTAAATGAGTTACTTGGAAAATAAAATTAAAAGGGCATAATAAAAAAATAAAAAATTTAGAGATCAAGTTGAAAAATACCCAAACTTAGAAGCCTTACTTCTACTTTAATCATGAATTTACATCTTCCTGCATCAAAACCCTTAAAAAAACCCCTATTCTGTATCTACAATGGAACCCAGCAGCAGTAGCAGCAAAATCAACAGCGAAAATGAAAATACGAACAACGAGTGGAAAGCCGAAGAAGTAATCGGTGGAAATAAAGCGGCACTTGAAGCTTTAAGAGAACTCATTACTTTTCCCATTCTCTACTCGCGTCAAGCTCAGAAACTCGGTCTAAAAGTAACTAAACCCTAGTTTTACTCAATAATTACCTTTCTGATTGATCATGATCCTGTTATATCTTTAATTTGATGCTAACTAATTAATTAATTAACGTGTTCCTGTTGTGTTTTTAATTTCAGTGGCCAACAGGTTTGCTATTTTACGGTCCTCCTGGAACTGGGAAGGTAATTAACTTCTAATCATTTCACTTTGCCAATAAATTATTCTTTTTGTAATGTAAATTTATATATTTATTTTCTTCTTTTTCTTAAATGGCAGACAAGTGTGGTACGAGCAGTTGTGCGCGAATGTGGTGCACATTTGATTGTCATTAGGTAATTTTACTTCTTTTTTTGTGTGTGTGTGTGTGTGTGTGGCTGGTCATGATTTTATGTATTGTTGAATAAATAGCTTTGGTTTTTATTTTTTATTTTTGTCTTGAACTTGGTTTTACTTGTGGGAATTTGGTGTAGTCCACATTCTGTTCATAGAGCGCATGCTGGAGAAAGCGAGAGAGTTCTACGTGAGGCTTTTTCAGAGGCATCATCTCATGCTGTGTCAGGCAAGCCATCGGTTATTTTTATTGATGAAATTGATGCCCTGTGTCCTCGTCGCAATTCAAGGTATTGGAGAAAGGATGGTTAGATTTTGCTGTAGTTTTACCTCTCCTTTAGATTTATAATTTTCACAACTGCTTGTAATTTTTGTGTTAGTTTGTTTTCTTGGTTTGCTGTTGTCTTGATTTTAATAGAAAGAGATAAACTTCTCCATTCATATATTTAAAATTAGGCCTTCAAATGCAGACGGGAGCAAGATGTTCGTATAGCCTCTCAACTATTTGCATTGATGGATGCCAATAAGCCCTTGTCTACATCTTCAGCACAAGTTGTCGTGGTTGCATCAACTAATAGGTTAGTTTCTTGCTTTTTGTATGTTTGAGGTTTTGCCCTATTGAAGTGAAGTAGAATCAATCTGATGGAGAGGTTTTTTCCTAGCTACTTTTCTTATGGCTGTATTGCCACATGTTGTTTGAACTTAACTAATATATAGTTTTTTTTTTTTTCCCCTCTGTATAAAGAGTGGATGCAATTGACCCTGCATTGAGAAGATCTGGTCGTTTTGATGCTGAAATAGAAGTTACTACACCTACAGAAGAGGAGCGATTGCAAATTCTCAAGGTAGCATATAAATCTTTAGATATCTATGAGCATTGTCTGGGTCGATTTTTATTAAACATGCATCAGCCTATTTGAGTTGCCAATTGATGTTATTACTAGAAGTATGATTATGGATCTTCTTGTTTGGTGGAATTTTAAAGGGTTGGTAATGTGGTTTTATAGGCAATTTTTATTAAACATGCATCAGCCTGTTTGAGTTGCCAATTGATGTTATTACTAGAAGTACGATCATGGATCTTCTTGTTTGGTGGAATTTTAAAGGGTTGGTAACGTGGTTTTAGAGGCACGGTTTTATCATGACATTTTCTTCCTGATTGTGTTCAGCTTTATACAAGGAAGCTTCATTTGGATGCTAATGTTGCCTTGCAAGCTATCGCTGCATCTTGTAACGGATATGTTGGGGCTGATCTGGAAGCTTTATGTCGTGAAGCTACCATGTCTGCTCTTAATTCTTCAGATACAAATGAAGACGCTGGTCTGCAATTAACGATGGATGACTGGAAGCATGCTAAATCTGTGGTTGGCCCTAGCATAACTAGAGGTGTGACTGTGGAAGTTCCCAAAGTGTCTTGGGAAGATATTGGTGGACTGAAGGATTTAAAAGTCTGTAACTATATGTCTTGATTTTGTGTCAAAATTCTTCTTGATGACTTAATGATCCTCGGCTTTATATATGTTTAACTCGACACTTCAATTTGGTATTGAAACTGACTCAGAAGGTTAACCATAATTCCTTTGTTGTCAGAAAAAACTCCAACAAGCTGTTGAATGGCCTATCAAACATTCTGCTGCATTTGCAAGGATGGGAATATCACCTATTCGTGGAGTTCTTCTGCATGGACCTCCAGGATGCTCAAAAACCACTCTTGCTAAAGCTGCAGCTAATGCTGCTCAAGCTTCCTTTTTTCCTTGAGGTATCAATGTATTTTCTAGTATTAGAAAATGGAAGCGTTTCTCACAAAAAAAAAAAAAGGATTTTTTTTTTTCAAAAAAAGTTTTATCATTTGAATTTTAGTGTACAAACTTGATAACCTGGGATATTAGAGGTGGCCGTTTGAAAACTGATTTTTGTTGATTGTTAATCAATGCTGGTTTTATAAAAACAGAGAGGGTAAAAAAGGGGAACCAAAGAGTTCTACTTAATGAAAATTCATAAAGCATAAATCAGTGGTGCAGAACTATATTCAATGTACGTTGGAGAGGGGGAAGCATTGCTCCGCAATACATTTCAAAGAGCTCGTCTTGCAGCACCAAGCATAATATTCTTTGACGAGGCTGATGTTGTTGCTGCAAAAAGGTTAGTTATGGAGGTTTCATATATGTTGTTGCTTCAAAATGTTTGGCTCTTTAAAACTATTTCTGCAAATGTTTTCTATGGTAAGTGGATAATTATTTCATTGAGGTTCTTCTTCAAGTTGGTGTATGATAAATGCAAGCATAGGCACATATCTTCATTCACACAGTATGAAGTAATGTGGTTGTTCTTATGATTGATTCTTGAAAACCACTTATAAAACAATGGTACTCAAAGCACACCCATTAATGGCAGAGGTGGGACTTCAAGTAACAGCACTACAGTAGGAGAGAGGCTTCTATCTACGTTACTGACTGAAATGGATGGTTTGGAGCAGTCTAAAGTAGGTGCCAGTCACATGATTGAGTTTATTGTTTATTTCGAAACTATAGTTGTGAGGAGTTTGAGATAACATCTAACCCTTTTCTTATGGTTTGGACATTTGCTCAATTCCATCAGGGAATTCTTGTGTTGGCTGCGACAAATCGTCCTTCTGCAATTGATGCTGCACTCATGCGCCCTGGACGCTTTGATTTGGTGAGGACTGCAAGTTTAACAGTTTCCCATATCTTGTACCCCCTCCCCTTTTTTCTTGCTGGTCTTGCAAATGATATAACAAATCATTTTCTAAATTTGTAAAGTTTGTTACTCTTTATCTGCTGCATATTCGAAGATGTCCCCTAACATCATAGCTATGAGCCCACTATTCCTGATTGCCTTGGGATCTTTTGCATGAGATGGTGCAAAATCGCAATAAAATCATTCATTATTTATGCGGATGGAGGATATAAAAATCAGGGTTTTAGCCTGCTGTTTTAGAATATTGTTTAATTTCATTCATATGAACCTGCAGGTGCTGTATGTGCCACCACCTGATTTAGAGGCTCGATACGAGATTCTTTGCGTTCATACACGTAAAATGAAAATAAGTAATGATGTTGACCTGAGAAGAATAGCAGAAGATTCTGAGCTCTTCACTGGGGCTGAGCTGGAGGGGCTTTGTCGGGAAGCTGGTATTGTGGCTCTAAGGGAAAACATATCTGCCACAGTTGTAGGCGATCATCACTTCCAGACAGTAAAGGAGTCATTAAAACCAGCTTTAACAAGGGCTGAAGTTGAAAGATATTCATCATTTATGAAGACCAGGCTAATGAAATCCGGAACAATTGAATCTTATCCTAAACACAATACTGGGTGCAAAAGGAATTTGTTGGATTCAATGGTTCCAGTTAAAGCTTGTGCTCTGAGCTTAGTATTACTTGCTGCTGCTAAATATTTTCTTATGTTTACCAAGTCAGCTAGACATGATGTATCAGCAACATGAAAATTTTGGTTACTTATCTCAACATGCTGGTTGGGGTTGTGCTATTTCTTTCAGGTATTCATTCTTTACTAGGGAAATTAATATTTATTTGTTGGTTTCATTACAGGTCGCCTTGTAGATTTTGTGTCTCCTATAAACGAATTGTTCCACTGTTTTGCCTTGGTTCATGTCTTTGGGTAGCGTGTCGGGATTTTTGCAGCCTGGGTTTCTCGGGTGTCCAGTGTAGTCTCTATGCTGTAACTGATACTTCCTGCTAGTGTCTCTGTCCTGAAGGCCCTCTTGTCCCTAGTGGACCAACCCAACATTGATTTGTAATTTGTGTCAGGGCGTAGGGTGCCTCTTATAAAACCAACCTACAAACCTGGCAACAGTATTCCATGTATGCATGATATGTGGAGAAAATGTTACCTATGTTATAGCCAGACGAGGTGATGGACCTCAGAATAATATTTGGTGATGAGGTTGTTTTCTTAAGGTTGACCTCAGATTCTGTGCATCTTTGTCTCTTTGGTTGGTTAGACAATATTTGGTCGTCAGCAGGATTGATCGTCATGTAGAGGATCATGTGGCGCATTTATAGGGGCGACTGTGGACAACCACTGTGTATTGGCTGTGTCTGGAGAATTGTCCGAATCGGAAATCAAAAGTCATATGATGACACGTGTAAAAGATTACAGTCGACCTGGCATTGATTGACGTTTAGCTGTTACGAGCCAGCGAAAAAACATTCCGTTGAATGGAAAAACGAAACCCCAGATGAATTCAATGAAATTATTTTTTTTGTTGAGAATTGTTTATAAAGTTTTAAAACTATGGCGATTTGACATGTTAGTTTTGGCTAATTGATCAGTGTGTCGGCTACATCTTTGCATGTTTTAGCTTTAACTCCAAACTGGAGGCTGCCCAGTAAGTGCATTCCTCTGTTGATAAAAATGGTTAATGCCTTATATATTCTGTGAAATTCGTTTAGCTTCAGTCTGTTACATTCTTAAAGGATTACACACCAAATAGTCACACACCTTTCATCAAAAGTTTTAATAGTAGATCATGATTAATTATTTCAAATATATTACTTCAACATGATCCATAAAATACTTTCTACTGGTGCTTGGTGCAATCAGTGGACTTGAAGGACACTGTCCTCTTCTCTAGGTCGTAGCCTACTGCAAAATCCATTTGAGCCAGGTTCCCGATTATTCCTATCTGATTGGATGATATCATGGTGAAGCATAGTAAATTCTCATCCGCTTTGACAAATGTGTTCAATGGCTGCAACTTCACATCCGCATTAGTGAAATGAGCTGTTATGATGGGAAGGTCAATATCACCTGCACTTTTGAAACAAATGCTGAAAAGTGCTCTAGGGTCGCTAACTCGTTCTGCCTTCACCGTTTCCTCCAACACTCTTTCTAGTTCGGTGAAGAATTCGGAATCAAGAAAAGTTAATGTGGTACCCGAATCGATGATGACGTTACCCTCTTCAACTTTGCCATTCAACAAACGATTAGTATAAGGCAACCTCGTGTTTCCGACACTAATGGCCTCCAGTGTTACGTAATAGTAGGTGTCAGGTTGTTTAGAAACCAAAGGAGTGGATACTACATTGGCGCCAGAAATGATGCTATCAGTGCCGAATTTGATCTTGCTTGTAACATTTGATTGTTCAGATAGCGGCACCAAACAGTATGAGAATCTACCTTTAATTTTTGAACTCAATTGAGACACCAGGGAAAGAGTGCCACCACCAAGGCCAACTATGCCGGAACCTAGCTCATCGAATGTGCCACCATTTCCAGTACCGCAGCCAAACACAACTGGTGATAGGTGAACTGGACGGCTGCTAGTGGAGCCAATGGTAAACTTCTCAGTAGCAAGATTCCCATTAGAGTAGGACTTGTCTCCATATGAGTAGCGATACTCACAAGTATTTGTATCCATGGCACAAGCTTGCTCAGCAACATCTAATGCATTGCAAAACCTACTCCCACATAACATGTGACGATATGACGAGGATCGTGATGGATCGAAAATAGGAGATTTTTGCTTGTAACATGGATCGCAAGGCAGACACTGAACCCATGTCAGGTCACTACCAGTATCGGCTATTACAAGTACCTCAACTGGTGGTGTTCCAATGGACATTCTCATGAAGTATTCCCCCCGTTTGGTGTCAAGTCGTTTTGGAATGCACTTATATCAATTGCCTTAGGCTTGAAGACATTATTGATACGTGATACGGAACGATAAAAAGCATTGCGCAAACGATCAAAATCTGTATGGTTTGGGTTGTAAAGTGGGGAAAGAGGAGAATCTCGATGAATAAGACTCAGAGTGAAGCCAGGAGCATGGTTGGCTGTTGCTTCCAAGAGGGAAAATGGTGATAGACTAATAAAACATACGAGAATGGTGACAAAACTGAAAGTGGTGGTAGCCATTTGGGAAGTGGGGTTTGAAGAATGGATTGGCGTGGCAGCATTTATAGGAAATCGGGAATGGAGACGGAGGAGATCAGAAAAGTCATCTAAACGGGGGTTACTGTATGTAATGATGAGGGTATCTGAAAAGAAAGGTGAATATATAAGACGAAGAAAGTGGTGCATTACTGCATTCATAATTGCTGGATCCTAATAAAACCTATTATTACTCTGGCTGGCTACTATCACTATCATAATAATCAACCAAAAAAAGTTACTCCTACTTGTTCGTTATGGAATTTTGAGAATTAATGGATTGACGGCTTTCCCCATGGAGTTTATTGTTTGGTGACTTTTTTCTATGATTGGAGGGGAATGTGATAATAAGTTAATAATAAATATATTAATCTATTTTTCTAACAAAAAAATATTGTTTCTTATCTTTTTGCACTCATGCTTTTTCTAGAGAATAGCCACTATCTAAACCTTTTTTTTTTCCCTTCTAAAGCTGCAAGTCTGATTTTATTATGACGTGGGGATGTAAACATGATCGAGTAAGAGTTTTTTTTTTTAAAAGGTTTTGTGTTACGTCGTAGAAGCATTTTGAATGTTTTTTTTTATTATTATTACATATATTGGATACTTTTAACCTCGAATGTTTATTAAAATCCGTACATATTTTAATTTCTCCGGTGATTATTGATCAAAGACTTGGTCCAAAAGTTCTATTCAAGACTTGCTATTAGCAACGGAGATGAACTGTGGGGGAACAGTACTTATGCGTTTAGGCTTAAAAAAATTTGGTTCAGTGGCTGTAGGAATTTTTTTTAATCTTTCTTCTATTTTTATTGTATCTTTCATTTTTTTTCCCCTTAAGTTCATCTCTTTATATCTGATTTTTATTTTAAATTCTTTCATCTTTTAACTTTTTGAATTAATGATATTAAATAATATCATTAGCTCTACAAGATTACAATATGTGTTAAATTTAGTTTTGTTTTAAGGTGGTTCCTTTAGTCTTTTCTTTCTATATTAAATTTAAACAAATAAATTTTAGAAAAAAAATCGAATATATATTTTTTTCTAAAATAATTTATTTATTATATATATTCAATTTTTTTTTCTAAAATTCATTTATAAAAAAATAGAATGTCGAGATTAAAATAAAAAAAGGACACATTTTTAATCTTATGTGACTAACCATGCAATTCAACATTGTTCAAAAAATTAACTGAGAAGCGAATTTAATAAAAAACAAAATATAAAAAAAATGAATTTAAGACGAAAAAAAAATAGAGAAACAGGTAAAGATGAAAAAGAGAGAAAATGAATTACTGTAACCATTAATTTTTTTTTTAAAAAAAGAAGACTTTTTGGAACCTATAAAATCCCTATAATCAATGTTAGTTGTTTATATGAGTGAAAAGAGTGATATACCGACGAAGCATCGATTTGACAAGGGAAACATATAAATTGAAGATGGTGGTAGCCGTTATACCAAGGGGCTTGAAGAGTGTACATGAGTAGCATAATTTATAGGTATTAATTAGGAGACAAAATTTATGGGTACATGTGTATGTGCTTAGGCTGACCGAACCCGAAGGAAAAAAAAAAAAGGCAGGGAGACTGATAAAGGGATTTGTGTCAACTTCGTTTTGAGGCATGCAATTCAGCTAAGGGATTCTCCAATTGATGGATTCAGATTTGGATGGTCTTTCATTGGTGGATTTTGATTTTTTCTATTTAATTTATACATTGATTTGCATGCCTAATCTTAATAGGGAACCTCATACTTTCAAGGAAAAAATTCGGAGTTTATTTATACATTAATTTAAAATATTTTTCAATTAGTTTACATATAAATTGATATTAACTCTGCTTCTAAAACGGTATTAAAAAGAGAGAAGCAATCCTAGTCGACCATTTATTGCGCTTTGCCTGATTTGCGACCACAAATTTGTTAGTAGGTGCTAGTTAAAAACAAAATCATTGTGTGTGATTCCAAATAATCTGATTTCAAAATGACTCAATTGATTGGAAAAAAAGGGACGTAGGGAAAGAGTTCGCCTGTCATATAGTTTGAAGTCCATGGACCTTCTAATAAAAGAATTAGTTCTATTGCTTGACACATCTAATTCCGAATACAAAAATTGCTGTACTCCTAACGGGAAAGAGAGACAAATTAATTTCATAAGTTTACTTTACGAAAACAATGCATGAGATTTAGTGATGATGATGCTAACTGAGAACATGGAAAGTTCAAACAATCCTTGCCGCATACTTTCGTTGACACTACTGTACTAACTGAGAATATGGAAATTGGATTTACTCGAGTCAAGACCACACGCCTATGGAAACAAACATTTGGTACCCAAAACCAGACTAATCAATGCTAATCCATAACTTGCTCCATTTTTAGAAAACAACAGAAACCAGCAGACTAATTTCAACACCCATAAGAGTAAGAAAAAGCAATTCAATCAACCAAAGATAATCAAAGCAAGCAAAATTTGGAATCTTGGAGTTGGAAGAAGAAGAACCCAATTAACATGTAAATGATCTCTAAGGGCAAACTTAGAAAAGAACTTCATAGCCACAGCATATACAAAGCATTGCAACCTATTGTGAAACCTTGCCAGAAGAAGATTTTGTATAACTTACACACACACACATATGTATATATATCACCTTTTAGAAGACGTTCATAGCCAAAACCATAGCATACACTATACTGTTATTAAGGTAGGCCAATTTGATTCATATACCTATTAGAAAAAGAAACATGTATACTAGTACTCTAATTCCCATATACGAACATGTAACAAAACCAAAATCATCTAGTCCACACTCATTTAGCAATCTCATCATCACTTAGCTCATCATCAATACCATGAAAACTCATTCTAGCAGATGCCTGTTTTGCCCACTTTACAATCTTCTCTGCCTCCTTACTCATCTTCTCTTGCTCTTTCATTGCCTGCTTTAGTCTTTTCTGCTGCTCTTTCACTGAAAAAGTACTCAAATCAGACAAAAACTCATCAACATTATTGTTTCCCCAATCAAGATTCAAATTTTCCTTGTTTTGCTTCTTTGTTACCCTTTTAGGAGAACACCAAAAACAGCCACTCTTTTTAGGAGGAGAAGGCCAATCCATGAATGAATTTGATGAGTTGGAAGACCCAGATTTTGATTTCTTCTCTGATTTCTGTTTGGATGGTGAGGAAATCGCATCTTCCACCAGCGAGTTAGAATAATCTGACCCGTGTAAATAGTTCTTCTTTAAACTACCTTTCCCATCTGGGTTTTCTTTCTTAGGAGTAAAAATATCTTCCTCTACAGAAGATTTTGAAGGAGAAGAAGAAACATACGCGCTTTTCAGTTCCTTCTCTAAACCCACTTTCTCTTCTGGGTTTTCTTTGTCATCCATAAAAACCTCCTTTTTACCCTTCGGAGATCCCATTTTCCCATCAGGGTCTTGCTTCTTACGCGAAAAGTTTTCACCTTTTTCAGAATCAGAAAAAGAGCCACCATCATCTCTTTTGCCCTTCATTGAAATGTTGTTCAAATCAGTGTTAGACTTGGAAAGGGATTTATTGGTAGTTGGGGTTTTGGATTTAGTGAGAGGGAAGGATTTTAGTTTGTGAAAACGGGTTTCTAAATCATTAGGAAGGAGTGCGTCAGTGAAACCAGAACAATTGATTTTAGAAACTTGTTCAAGGACACAGAGTTCTTGTGTTTGTGATATGAGTTCGTCTACTGCTGAGTCATCCGTGTCTGACAGGAACCCAAAATCTGCCATTTTTTTTTTTTTTGGCAGAGAGAATTGGAGAGATTGTGTTGTTAAAACACTCTGTATTTTTTTGGGTGCTCCTTAGGGGCTAGGGAAGTAACAGGGAGGGATGGTTCTGGTGACTCAGATTGTGGGAGCTTCTCTAGCAACGGCTAATTCATGCTTTTGGCATTTTGCTTGACATCGTGGGACCCGTTTTCTTTCCTTCTGGGACCATACTTAGACTTTTATTTTATTTTCTTAAAATATTTCACAACAATTGAAAAATTAGAACAAATATCAATAATATATTACATAAAATTTCACTACATTTACTATTTACTGTAACATTTGAGATTTTTTAATTATGAAATTACTGTTCTTTTGAACAGTGAAATCACATATTATTTTTTTTAAAATAATTTTCAAGTTATTTCATTTTGATCTCTACAATTTTAAAATAAAAATTATAATATCTTGATTCATGTACTAGTGTACTACATATGTCTTTTTTATATTTTTTTAATTTATGTTTTTTTATTTAATTGGGTGTTAAATTTTTTTAAAAATATTTTTTTTGTTTTTTTCAATATATATATATATATATATATATATATATAATTGAATGTTAAAATTTTAAAAAATTAATCGTAATCTTTTTCTTCATAAACTAATGATTATATAATACCACCTGAGGTCAATTGAAATAAATAGAAAATAAAAAACTACTCTAACAATAGTTTTGTTCAACATCATTCGTTTCGCTCAACTAATCAAAAAGTAATTTGTTTTTTTAATTAAAATTTGTTCATTACTTCACATTATATCCAATTTAATTATGTATAAATTTTTTTATTTAATTTCACTACATCATATTGATGAAAATACTGTCCATTAGGTTGGATAATAACATCTTTCCTTCGGAAGTGATCACGAAAACATCATGTTTACATTATATATATGTGTATTAATTTAATAAAATTACATGCGACAAATATATATTAAAATACTAACGCTGTAATGTAATGGAAAGTAGAAATAATATCCGATACCCAAACTATGTATAGCAATAAAAAGATAAAAGATGCAGAATGGTTGGCTGTGATGCTTAATTGAAAATGGGTGCCGGCCTTGGACTTTCTGGTTTTACAACTCATTTTCATTACTTTATGGTATCAAAGAGGATCTCTTCATTGACGAGAAGATCTCATCATCTCGTGCCAATCGTATTAATTAGTTGTGATTATGAAATTTAATGGACTAATATCACTACTACTAATAATAATAAAATAAAAAATAATCAAAGCCTGTACTCCACGGTCCAAGGGGAGGGGGAGGAAGAAGAGGCTTAAACACGACCAAACACAAGAGATGCTTGCCGCCATATCACAACTCATGCATGAAACTAACCACAAAACGATAGCTCGTAAATGTCGATTTGTAAAGTAGATTTAAATTTGAATTCTCATAATTAAAATTTTTGAGAATTTAGTTTGAGAATCCTGAAAACTTTGTTTTTGAGAATATCCTTGACCACACTCAAGGAAAAAAAAATATCTTTAAATGTGCGAAAACTGACACAATGATATATTTACTGTTGAATCCGAAAAAATATAGAAAATAAAAAACAAAAAACAACCCATGAAACTATATATATGGAATGACATGCGATTAGTCATTTCGGGGATGACCACTGACTCACTAGTGAAGACAGAAGGAAGAGGTAGAATCAATTAGTCTATCTGGCCGCTGCTAAGCACACCACAGAGATGGAAGCAACATGAATTCCCATCCTCCAATAACTCAAAACCCCAATTCATCTTGCATTGCTCATTAATTAACACCCCAAAAAATTGGCCATCCCACAACCCAACACTGACTTCTTCTTCTTCTTTCTTTTTCCTTCATTTTGAAGGATTTATACGATTTATGTTACGGATTTGTAGCCTTTGCCAAGAAATACGTACTATCGTCGTAAAATTCCTCCGACACCTATACCAAACTCTTTTTTCTCCTCGGTAATACCTTTTTGATTTTGAAAACAATTTAGTAATATACACATTTAATTGTGATTTATGAAAATGCTAAGAAAGTTGGGAAGCAGTTTGAGCCAGAGTCGGGGAATGCATGGCATTAATTGTGTTTGGAGAGCATGAAAAAGTAGAGAGTACGAAAGGAAAGATGACAGACAGAAAGTGCAGTGCATATAAGGTTGTCGTAGTGGAGCAGAAATAAGAAATGCAAGCATCATCGCATACCTCAACTTCAACTGCTCCAATCATCTTTCGTGCATAACAAACAAATCTGCACTTCTCATTACACTTGAGCTACTCATGCATATCCTGCCTGCTTTTCTTTCTCTTAGGTGGACGAAAGGCACTGAATATATATATATGTTCAGTTATCTAAAACAATATTATTTCCTTATCCAGTTTCTGTGGGTACTTGGACTTTTGCACTGAAATCTAAAATTCAGATTTGACATTAGAAATATTTTCACAAGCAATATTGTTTCCTTGCCAAAATTCAGGGAAAAAAAAATGTGACGTTGCCCTCAAGATATTTCAAATGATTTTCCTTTTACATGTAGAGAGTAGACCTTAGACGTCAAGAAATGCGATTTTCTTTGTCACGTACAAATCATAATTAATTACTTGACATAATTCATTTCTCCCAATCATTGCAGTGCTTGCCAGTGTACCGTCAACTTTCAGTGTTCTGCTGGCTTTTATTTTGGTCAACTTTACAAATACTGAAAGAATTCCAAATGGTGCTTCAATCAGCCACAAGGGTTCGTTTACTCCTCCTCCCTTTGACAATATCCGGATGCTGTTGCAACAAGTAATTGCAGCTAGCCAATTGCTATTGAGATTAACATTGACACTTTTCTGCATAACGACATTGTAGTAGATGACGAAGCAAATACAAATTAAGAAAATATTAACGTTAAACAAGATATCTCAAAATAAATGAATAAATAATAACCCAATTCAGTAGAGTGGTTAGAGCAGTTGAAGAAAGAATGTCCTCTCTATATATTATCTCTTTAATCAACTCTAGCTTTTTGATAATTGTTTATATTACAAAGCAAACACACCCACCACTCCATTCCTATTTCTATACACACAAAACCTGCTGCTGCTACTGTTTTTTCGCTGTCTTGCACTAACAATGAGAGAATCCTCAAAGCCGTGGAGACCATTCACGGCTAATTGCTGCAGTTCAGCTGAAGATCAAACATTCTTTGGCAACTTCAGCAGATGCAGGTCGTCAAAATCAGACCTTTCCAAGAACATTGGTCCATTACCATCATTTAGAAGACTGTCCTTCTCTGATCTTAGCCATTCTTCATCAACACGTATTAATGAGGATCTTGCACAGTCTTTTGGGCCTGACTTGTTTGATTTTCAATTGAGTGAGTTACGTGCTATAACACAGAATTTCTCTAGCAATTTCTTGCTAGGAGAAGGTGGGTTTGGGACCGTGCATAAGGGTTATGTAGATGACAATTTGAGGCCAGGTTTGAAGGCTCAGGCTGTTGCTGTTAAGCTTCTTGACATTGAAGGCCTGCAAGGTCACCGTGAATGGCTGGTAATCATATATATATATATATATATATATATTTTTTTTTTTCATTACTGTTTCATGAATAACAACACTACTATTGGAATAAATTATAATTTAGTCCTTCTTATTTGGAGAAATAAATAAATTAATCTTTTGTTTTTTTTTAAAAAAAACTAATTATTAAGATCCTTATGTTTTAATTCTGTTAATATATATATATTTTTTTAATTAGTCTTCTGTTATATTAGTAAGACTAGATGTAACCTTTTTAACGTATGATATTTTTCATGTAATTTTTTCAATTCTCCCATAATCTTGTGTGAATAGTGGGCCTTCACTTGTGATCTCGGCCCAGTTTCACTAGGTTTCTTATAAAACACGTTAGGTCCAAACATTCCTCTCAATATATTTATAGGTCTCTAGTTTTCCCTGTGTTGAACTTCACGTAGCATTTGGTATTTGGGATTGGAAGGTGTCTAAAACAGGACAACATATAGTTTTTCTATGATTTTTTTTTTTTTTGGTATTGAATAGTCTTGTTATTTAATCATGTCCAGTCTCATCTACTTATCAAACTCATCTAAATAATAATTCAGATTTTAATTTTGATACTTCTACTATACTATTGAAGTTTTAATTGTGTGTATATATATACATATAAATTTGTTGCAGGCGGAAGTAATATTCTTGGGGCAACTTAGACACCCAAATTTAGTTAAATTGATTGGCTATTGTTGCGAGGAAGAAGAACGACTTCTTGTCTATGAATTCATGCCTCGAGGCAGCTTAGAGAATCACTTGTTCAAAAGTGAGTTGATCAACTCTGTGTTACAAAATTATACTTCCGGTTATGATTTACATTAACTTCTAATTTATATAACTCAAATTGACTATTTTCTACGGAAAACTCCTCTAAAAAAGCTAGCAAACCTTACTTTGGCAGAATTGGTAAAAATGAAAGAAAGGGGGGCGTATACAAGAAACATTCATGAAGAGGATGGAAATAGTTGTTCACTAGGTTTTGTTTCATTATTTATTGACGATCACAGGGATTTCAGTGTCCTTGCCATGGGGCACGAGGTTAAAGATAGCGATGGGAGCAGCCAAGGGGCTAGCCTTCTTGCATGGTGCTGAGAACCCTGTCATATACCGTGACTTCAAAACTTCCAATGTGTTGCTTGATTCTGTGCGTAACCTTCTCATTCTTTTCTCAATCGCATTAGTAGACGCACAAACTTGACATGTCAGATGTTCTATTCGATTCTTTTGTCAGGATTTTACGGCTAAGTTATCAGATTTTGGACTCGCAAAGATGGGACCTGAAGGATCAGACACACATGTTAGCACTCGAGTGATGGGCACCTATGGATACGCTGCCCCCGAATATGTCTCAACAGGTTTGAGCACCCAATATTTTCTTGCCTCAAAGCTTTCAGATTTTGGGATTTGTATCCAGCCCAAACGTTACAAGTCATCACTAACTCTCGAGCAAACTAAAGACTAGTGGGCTGAAAGCCCAATTTGAGAATTTGAATCGCATAACGGATAGATTTTCAGTTAATAAACTATATTAAGAATTTGTATTATGATATGTAGCAATTAATGTGAAATTTGATAATTGACAATGGCTAATGTGACAATGCATTTCAGGACATTTGACAACAAAAAGTGATGTTTATAGCTTTGGTGTGGTTCTACTAGAGCTGCTCACCGGAAGGAGAGCAACTGATAAGTCAAGACCAAAGGGTGAGCAAAACATCGTTGATTGGGCAAAACCTTACTTAACCAGCAGTCGCAGGTTGCGGTGTATTATCGATCCAAGACTTGCAGGGCAGTACTCTGTCAAGGGAGCAAAGCAAATGGCCATGCTAGCATTACAATGCATAAGTTTAAACCCCAAACACAGGCCCAAAATGCCATCCATTGTTGAAACTCTTGAAGCCCTACAACAGTATAAGGACATGGCCGTAGCGTGTGGGCAATGGCAAGCATCACCAAAATCTACTACGAGAAAGGGAATTTCCCCTGGAGGAAGGTTGGAAAGTAGAGGCGCAAGTTATAGGAAATCAGCACCAGTTACATCAAGCAAGAAAGCATAGATAATCATAACAATGAAATAGAAGGCTAAGTGTCAGTAGTATGTGTGTGTTATGTACAATGTGACACATTTGAAAGTTGAGGCATCTGCCTGCATGTGTAAATATTGAATATCCAAATGGTATATCTTCCTGGTTGAAATATAAATACTATCTGGCTGTGAACTAAAACCAGATATGAATTATTATAGAAAATAAATATGTAATCAATGTCATCTTGGAGATACTATTTATTAAGACAATCTTATGATAAAGTCCAGTTAACAAAGCAAAAGAATTTAGTTACCAACAAAAGTGTCATAGCTAACAGCAAAGACTCCAAAGATTCTAAGATATATTCGAACTTAGTCAGTTACAAGTAGATATATTATTCAATTCTCGGAAGAAGATTATCAGAAGCTGATTCTATGCATCAAACTAATTGGAGTTCATGCTTTTCTGCAAGAGACAAAGGAAGCAAATTGAGTTACTGTCTATAATTATTTTATTATAGTCTATATTCATCAAACACAAATAGAATGTAACAATATATATATATATATATAGGCACATACACACACGCAAGTCTTATCATTGCAGAGACACTAATTATGAGCTATTCAAACTCTATCTCTAACATTTAATTTGGTATCAATCTTTCTGCAACACCGCAACAATGACCTCTAGTAGTTTCACTTCCTTTGCAACTCCTAAAAATACTGTTGTTGTTCCCCAAACAACTCAAAATAACATGACTCTGCTTATAAATGCTCACCATTTTATTTTTCTTAAACTAACCTCAATGAATTACCTTTTTCCAGCACACTCAGACGAGAGCAACAAGGTCTCTTTCGATTCATTGATGACAGCAATGATCGTCCTCTCTCTCACCCCCTTTCTCTAGACACTAATATATCCCGACCCAACCCCCAATAAGCGTTTTTCGATTCAGCAATACCGATTACTAATGAGTATGCTCATTAACTTTTTATCCATAGAAGTTCTGCCCTTTGTCATTGATTGTGGCACTTCTCATGAAGGTTGGACCACATTGGAGATTGTTATTGTAGGTGTCCAAGATTCAATCTTGTTTGGATGGTTTGACTTATTGTAATATTGCATTCTTTATTTTATTAATAAAAAAAGTCTTTTTATTCATTCTTATTATTTATATTTTGAATAGAATTATATAAAAGTCCATATGATATGTATTGCATTAACGATTGATCAAAAGATGTGAGACAAATATATATTAATGCACTTAAATGATATAATTAAATGTCTCAAGTTATAGCATTGTCAAGAATGAACATTGACTATATGTGGTAATACTTGTGAGTGTTATGCTCATGTTATAAGATAGCAAGTATGAGATCTCACACCTATTGGTATGGTAATGTCAAAACAAGCACTTAGGTGATTAATGTTAGAGAACATATCGCTGGACTTGACTCGTCATGAGAACCCATTTGGTTTAGTCTATGAGAATTTCATACGAAATAGGTACAATTGGTCCTTTGACTTGAAGTTATCACGATCATCTCATTAGAGGATTTATGTACTTTGACACTCGTTTCGATGAGCTCGGTTAAGAGCCGTACGTGGATGACTCGTTGGGTGTATTAGGAATCTAATAGAGATAGATGGATGATTAAAATAAGATATGTCATACCTTGTATGCTAAAAGAGTTATTACATTGTACTTCGATAAATATCTCGCTCAAGGAATCTGTTGTCACAATAGGAGTACACCAATAGAGCATAATTGATTTACTCTAGATCTAAGACATTTGGGAATTGAAGAAAACTTGTGTGATCATAATAAAAAAGACTATAAACTAAGTTCGAGAGCACACGAGTGATAAATTGACATTAGGATTGAATTGTATAGTAACAATGCTTGTGAAAGGTAATTGCAAATTAATTAATCCTCTTAGAGAATTAGATAGTCATGATGCCTTGTTAGAGGCCAATCTTGATTTATATATCAAGAGATAAAAGAGGTTTCTTTTATTCTTGATACATTGTCAATATATCTAAGAGCTTATTGAGTCACACACATAAGTTTAAGCATTCACATAATAAAAAAGAAGCAAATATTTTGAAAATGGTTTTCAGTTTTGAAAATTTTCTATTTTGGACAAATTTTTCAAAAATAAAAAATTTTCTGTTTTGAAAAAAAGTTTTTTAAAATGTCTAAAATGGAAAGTTTTCTATTTTAGAAATCATTTTCCTAATTTAGAAGTCAGTTTCAAATTTGGAAGTAAGTTAACTAAAAAGAAAATTAGTTTCCTAATTTAGGTTTAAGGGTAATTTGGAAAATTACTTCCTAATGTGGACTTTTAAAAAAAATATATCTAACCTAATTTATTTGGATAGTCCAAATTAATTGGTAATTAATTGGGTCAAAAAAGTTTGGGCCAATAGGTTCAATTTAAAAGTCCGTAAGATATTTTGGTAAAAGAATAAACTTGACCCTTATTGAATAAGAATGAAGTTTTATAAGGATAAAATCAAAAAAGCTCATATGCATTGCAACTCTTAGTCCTTGGAGGACTAAAAAGCCACAACCTAGAGTTCTTATAGGACTTGTTGACAAATTTTTGGCCCATAGGCTTAATTTAAAAGTCCGTAAGATATTTTGGTAGGAGAATAAATTTAACCCTTATTGAATCGAATTAGATTTTATAAGGATAAGATCAAAAAGCTCAAATGCATTGCAACTTCTAGTCCTTAGAGGACTAGGAAGTTGCAACCTAGAGTCCTTGTAGGACTTGTTGCCGCCACTTCCTTGTCTTTCAAGGATAATGAAGCAACTCCCTTATAAATAGGGGAAGAGAGATGCGAAAAAAATGTAAAAAAAAAAAAAGAAGAGAGAGGTGGTATTATAGGGTGAAAAATAAGAAACACAATATAAGCAAGAAAAAGAGAGAAAAGTGCTTTCTCCTAAAAAAACCTTAGTTGTCGCACCTCTTTACTACAAAACCAAAAGTTGGCATAAATTACCCAATAGAATTTCTAGAGAAAAGTTAACTACACAAGAGGATTGAAGCTAGCACTCCGTGATTTCCGTAGCTTCCTTTATGGATGTTTAAGCCGCATGGATTATCGATAGAGGTCGGACACTTAGACAGACTCCTTTTATACAAAGGTTCCGTGTTACGAGAGGTAATCTTTTACTCATGCTTTAATTCATATATGTATAATTAGTTAATTTAACGGCTTGATCTTGGGAGCTTGAGATTGAGGAATTTTTTTTGTTTTATTCCGCATCTCCATAGGATGCATAATCCTTCAAGTGCATTATAACCTTAAGAAAGATCATTGGATGGTAGTGAAAAGTATTTTACGTTATTTAAAATAGTCCGTAGATTTTGGTTTGCATATTACTAAGCATATCAACATCTTTTCTGCGAGGGTTTTTTTTATTTTGATTGGGTAGGGAGTTTAGAGGATTGAAAATCCACATTAAGATTTGCCATCTTTTTTGGAAACAACCTTATTTTTCAGAAATCATCGAAGCAAAAGATGGTATTTAGAAGTTCAACTCGAAACAGAATATAAGGTTGTGTCTAATGCAACAGTTGAAATCATTTGGCTCAAGTCTTTACTCCTTCGGTTAAAAATTCGGATGAAACTAAGCCTATCCCATGGTGTGATAATATTGGGGCAAATTATCTAGTAGTAAACCCTATGTTCCATGCAAGAACAAAGTATATAGAGATAGAATATTATTTTATCGGGAAAATGTTGCAAAGGTGAGTTATAAGTTCAATTCATCTTAAGGAAGATCAAATTGTCGATGTGTTGACAAAACCTCTATTATCTTAACACTTTCAATACCTCATAAACAAATTGGTAGTTGCTTCTTTACAAAATAGAACACTATCTATTTACGGGGAGTGTTTAGATAATCCGACAATAAAATTCAGTTAACAAAATAAACAAATTTGATTACCATCGAAGTGTTATAACCGGTAGCAAAGACTCCAAGATATATTCAAACTTAATTAGTTACAAGTAGATATATTTCAATATTGTTTGTAGCTATTTTATTGTATTCTATATTTATCAAACATAAATAGAATGTAGCAACACAATATATATATATATATATATAGCACCCTTGCAGAGATATAATAATTATGAGCTACTTAAACTTTACTTATATCTTATATTTAATTCTATTTTGTTTAATACGAATATTTCGTCACTTGATCAAAGATCAACCCTTTATAGGCTTTGAGAAGGACCAATAGCTGACAATTTTTGTGGCCAAACCCTTTGGCAAAGAATTGGTGGATGGATGACTTGCTATTTTTAGTAAAAAAGAAAAAGAAAAAGAACTTTTTATTCCACCATATAGAAAAAGATTTTGAATTTAAAATTATACATCCAGAAAATGTCACTCTCAACATTTTGAGAATCGCATGCATTACAAATAGAAAAACTATACTTATAATAATTTACAAATAAAATGCAGAATACATCTTTCCTATGCTGAAAATTAGACGGAAATTTTTTATTAATATTTTCAAAAAAATTAATATACTTAATGGAAAAAAGATTCAAAGTTAATACATTTATTATTATGTAGTTATGGAGTAATAAATTTGTAAACTATACCATATACATGTGTGCGTTAATTTCCTTGTAATTGTAATGAAATGCATGACTGGTTATTTATTTATCAATCAGAATTTGGTTTTACTGATTGGGACATTTCTACGAGTCTTTCGGTTCTTTACAGAAAGGCTTCTCTTCATTATGAAAATAAAGCCCATCGTCCGGCCAACCCAAGCCCCATGGCCCTGGAAGGAAGAAATTCTTAATTTTTGTCATTCTACACGTAAGGGTTGAACTCCTAAATTCTTGTAAGTTTATAAGACCATTCTCCAAACTCAGAAGCATTACCGAGGGTCTTCATTGGCATTTCCTTGAAATTGCTTAGGTACAGCCTTGAGTGTTCACAAATCTGACATCTTTATACATTTGAGTCAGCTAGTGGTACAAGGCGTCCCTTGTCAAGCTAGAGGAGAATGACTGTTCATGCATCTCTCTATTTTGCTCTCATTATTTTTCGTAAACCTTTCAATCCACCAAAAGAACTTGTCTTGGAAGTGTTTTGAACAGGAAGGATCATCATCTATCAACAATCTCCACAGCATCCTTCAGTTACAAGGAGCAACGTAATCATCAACCATTATTTGAGTTTCCACTTTCCACGAGTCATGAGGGATGATGAAACAGAGAAAGGAATCACAGTCTAGCCAAGTTCCCAGGTATAGATACATGGTGCTAACTCCAAGGTATTACCAAGACTTGGTGACTTTGGAAAACAAAGGGTTCAATATGGAGTTGGAGAAGATCCTGACAATCTATACCTCTATAACCTATAGATCTTTTCCAACAATCTGTTTGAGGGTGAGATTCCTGAAACAATAGGAGATCTTGATTCACTCTATGTACTCAACTTGTCAAATAACCATCTCACCGGCTTGCTTCCTAGCTTGGAAAACTCAAGCAGCTTGGTTCATTGGACCTGTCAGAAAACAGACTTTCAGGTAACCTTCCTCAACAATTCACCGCGTTGACCTGTCCCTCAGTTTTAAACCTCTCATAGAATCTCCTCGAGGGAGACATCCACGGAAATAGCACTTAGGGACTTGGGGTATTGATTCGAACTTTTATTGGATTGGGTTTGCGTGTGGAGGCGGAATGCGCCTAATTATTGGATTTGTGGCGGGAACTGTTGCAATCAGAAGGGGAGGAAGAAGCGGAAGAGCTCATAGATATATACACCCGTTGTGAGGGTCCGACAAATTGTAAATATGCATGCTGGAATTGAGCAATCCCAAGCCAAAATGTAGTAATTGATATGCTTCAATCTTCAATGAATAATGAAAGGGTAGAGTTGTAATTTTATTTTATTCTCTTTTTCAGACAACATATAAAACATGAACTAAATAGTTAATGAAATTTACAACACATGCTGCATTCCTTTTATGTTGTTAAGAAAATACCAACATTTTCAAATTCATCGCATATCTCTCTATAAAGAATAATAGTAATTATAACCAATTATTTGGTTTTTTTTCCTCTTCGAAAAAGAAATTGCTATTGCAAAGCAAAATATAGCAGATGCTTCTCCAAAAAAAGGGTTAAGAAAAAAAGAAGTGGATTTGGTTGCACATTTTTTGATCGAGTTGGAAGAATCCAAAATAATCTTCCACGAGACTTCTGTCATCCTTTTATCGGCCCATTGTGAATTTAATTTTATGATTGATCAATCTTACTTTTGGTAGATCCATCTTTACATGTTCTCCTTTATTAGTTTCTAGTGGGTCGAATAGTTGAATTCTCAATGAACTTAAAAAAAAAAAAAAAAAATTCTTGGGCCACTTTTAAGTTTTAATTGATCTTAGGATCCAGACCTAAAAAATCTGATATTACGATTGTTCTTTCCAGTGGATTAAGGTTGGGCTGGAGGATTACTGCTTTGGGCAGCTGGGCTGAATAGCATAAACCATTGCTTCAAATCCAAGCCCTCCATGTGATTTACAGACGAAGAATCTATTTATATCTCTCGCTGAGGATATGAGCATCAGTTCTGGCAAAGTAAACAGAGGTTGCAATTAAAGTGCTTTCAGTCGAAGCAAAAATCACTTGCAAGTGCCTTAAATTGATGGCCTCTAGCATTAACATAATGAAAATAGCACCAAAAGTCCAAAACGCATGCCTTTTAAAAAAAGAATTTCGTGCATCGCAAATCACCCAAAATCTGCTTGGAGAAATAGTGACTAGCTAGCTTGCTTTGGTCAAAATGAAGATGGAAATGCGTCTACTTTAAACCAACCAAGATGGTTGACTTTGTACAGCAACTAGATCCGTCTTCTGCTGATTGCCTAACATAGCTAAGTTGACATGTCTGCTGGGTAAGGAAATCGGGTAAGAATCGATATTAAAAAAAAAAAAAATGTAGAATGGTGAATATTGAGATGGTATGTCCTTTTAAGCGGAACTCGAAACAAATACAAATTAAAAAGTAAAAGTGACAATCAAGAACAGTGGCCAAACCTATTATGAAAACGGTTTACATAATAATTTTTGTTTTGGCAGCTAGAAAATAAAAGATGTTACAAGATACGATGTAGCTAGGGGGAGAGGTGGCTTCAACATCACAGAAAGTAGGACATGGAGTGAATTTGTTGTTCAACCTATTGGGTCCTGCAAATACTATATGAACTGTGCATAAAAGGAGTCAGTAAAGTCAGAAGAAGAATCGTCTTTTTGTTGGAGGAGGCGTGAGAAACGCACTTATAAAAAAGAGAACAAAACAAAATGCTCTTGCTTAAGTGCGTGACCAACTCACCACAAAACCTCCCCACTTTCCTTCACTTTTCAGCATTCAGATTTAGAATTCATCAAAGTTTACTAATTATTAAGCACCACAAGCAAAACAAACATTTTAGCAAGTCCCACAGTACAACCAAAAAATGGCCTTCAACAACAAACCCAAGAAACCCCATGCCATCCCTTCTCAATCTAAATCCAATCTATGCACCACGCTCTTCTTCGTTGTTCTCTTCACCATCCCTGCCCTGTTCCTCCTCCGTGCCCCAACCACCTCCATTTGCACTACCTTAATTGCCCACCATGCTAATAATCCTTGGTCAGGTGATCTACGAAATGCAGAGTTTGCATGGAACCGTCTTGCTTTCACTGAAAATAAAACTCCTCCAGTCAAGCTCAAGATTGCTGTTTTCTCTCGGAAATGGCCTATTGGTACAACCCCTGGGGGCATGGAACGCCATGCCTACACTTTACACACTGCTCTAGCTCACCGCGGCCATCAAGTGCATATCTTCACCTCTCCTGTAGACGAAAATAGCCCATCTGCTTCTCATGGCAGTGTAACAACTTCTCCACGGATTCATTTTCATGAAGGGGAGCCAGGCAAGTGGAGATACAACAAGGCATGGGAGCAATTTGATGAGGAGAACCAGCGTGAAAAACCATTTGACGTGGTTCATTCGGAAAGTGTGGCTTTGCCTCATTGGTTAGCTCGCAATGTTCCAAATCTTGCAGTTTCCTGGCATGGTATAGCTCTCGAAAGCTTACAGTCAAGTATTTACCAGGACTTGACACGAAAGCCAAATGAGGCCATCTCTCCTGATTTTAATAGAAGTCTCCATGGTGTTGTCCCCAAAGTGCTTAATGAGATAAGGTTTTTCAAGAATTACGAACATCATGTTGCTATTAGTGATAGTTGTGGTGAGATGCTAAGGGATGTGTACCAGATTCCTAGGAGAAGAGTCCATGTAATTGTCAACGGTGTAGATGGCGATGGTTTTGGAGAAGATGTGAGATTAGGGCATGAGTTCAGGTCTAAAATTGGTGTCCCAATTAATGCTAGTTTGGTACTTGGTGTGGCTGGAAGATTAGTGAAAGATAAAGGGCATCCAATTCTTTTTGAAGCATTTTCCAAGTTCATGGAAAAACACCCTGATGTCTACTTAATTGTGGCAGGTTCAGGTCCATGGCAGCAAAGATACAAAGAATTAGGCCCTACGGTCTTGGTTTTGGGATCTATGAGTCCATCTGAATTGAGGGCATTCTATAACTCGATTGATATCTTTGTGAATCCAACACTTAGACCTCAAGGGCTTGATCTTACACTCATGGAGGCGATGATGAGTGGAAAGCCAGTTATGGCATCAAGATTTCCTAGCATTAAAGGTACTATTGTCGTGGATGATGAGTTTGGATTCATGTTTTCTCCAAACGTGGAGTCTTTACTGGAGGCATTGGAAGCTGTAGTGACGGAAGGATCCAGACGACTAGCTCAGAGAGGGAGGGCATGCCAACAGTATGCTGCTTCCATGTTCACTGCCCGAAAGATGGCACTGGCATATGAGAGGTTATTTCTCTGTATCAAAAATGAAACGTTTTGTAACTATCATTAGTTAGAATATAGGTTTTTTACCCTTTTTTTTTTCTATTTTTAAAAGAAAAATTATTAAATACACTGTGTTGCTTCAGATAGTGGAAGCATTTAGAATCATTTCAAGCGACAGTAAAGACAAAATACTAATAATTATTTCCTCCTCCATGCAGTTTAAGATTCAATTAACCATCTAATGAAATATAACAATCAGACTGAGGTAATTATCTTCATGATATATATGTAGCCTGCAAATGTTAAAAATGGCTTTTCATCGACTTCATTTAAGACAAAAATCTTCGATCCAAAGAACTTCCTCTGTCCTAAGTAGCAAGTACAAGCAAACATTGATATAGCTATGCAACTTCTGCCTTCCATTGTCTACTTAACACTAACCACGCCATAATCTTGGCAACCTCTTAGTACAGTAGTGTTATACTCGAAACTCGTTTTAATTCAAACTGGTCATAGGCATGTCTGGTCCTCAAGAATAACAACAAACTAGAAGTTAAGCCCAACACCGATAGGCATCCCCACCAGACAAACGTTAAGAAATAGCACTGCCTTCCCATGCATACACCAGAGTCAGTAGCGATGTTTAGGCTAGAACTTACATTAGAATCATAAACTATAGCTGCTAGAATACCATAAACAAGTGACCCTATTGGGATATTGGTGATTAGAATGTTGTGATTGACTCCTAAGCTATTAGGCCCAAATAGCTCGGCTGTTATTGAAACTGCTGCGGCAAAGATGAATCCAGAGCTCAATCCAACTAATGCAGTGCTTATATGCAATGCCACTCCATTTCCTGAAGCAGCAAGCAAGAAAAAGGCTATTGGGGTTGGCACAAGGGCAATGGTTAGCCACGCAGTCCTTGCAAAGTAGATCTTCCTGCAGAAGACATCATTACTGTTTAGCTTAACGTAATGTGCAGGTCGCAACATCTCAAGGATATTGCAGTAGTTTGTGTAGTATTAATCAATTGAAGGTGAAGGCACCATGGCTTATGCAGCCTGATGCTGCTGAAATTAGAAGTTTATAAAGAAAACTTTGTATGATTACTTACGCGCGTAAGTAGTCCGGTGCTGCTGAAAGCAAGCGGCCAAAAAAGGAGAAGGATGAATAGAGAGTCACAAGAGTTGTAGTGTTTGAACTTTGTCCAAGTGATTGTGCTATTTGGCCTAAATTGTTGCTGTACACGAGGCCAATGGTACCCCCACAGATATATGCAATGTAGTATAGCCAAAAATCCAACCTGCGTATAAGCATTGACGCAGGGTGCTCTTCCCCAAGCATTGCTAATTGATCTTTCTTAACAACTGTATCACAACACCCTTCTTTTTCACCACTGTCTTTCTGTTTTATAATTCCATACACGGTTTCATCTCCATTTTCATGATAACTTGACTCACGGGTAATGAGCTCCTTGTGAAGCTCAAGATCATCAACATCCACAAGAATGAAGCCAGAGCCATGAAGGCTGAGACTAGAATGGACTGCCCGGTGAAACCATGCTCTAGCATAGACCATACCAGGTATACATAATGGGAAAATTAGTAGAAAAATTGCACCAGCAAAGAGTAGAAGAGCTCTCGTTCCATGAGACGTGCTTGAACCAAAGATAAGAAGATAAATTCCTGTGAGGATGGCTAAGAAATTCAATATGAAAAATATAAGGGAATCACGACGGACTCCATCAGGAGGAAGGGGGTCTAAAGATGGTTGACGAATAATTGGGATCAATGCTGCAATGGAAGTGATAAGAGGAATAAAAGCATTTAAAAGAAGATATATCTCGTGTGATGATGAATCTATTGCATTGCCAGCGAGAGTGTACAGGGCTGCACTCACACCATTGAAGGCTACTGTGAGAGATAAAGCCAGAGGCCGGTTCGCTGGGAAATTTTGGGTGCAAAGAACAAAACACACAGTGTTGAACCAACAAATACTACATCCAGCCAACAAACAAAGAAGAAACACCTGCACAAAGTTTTGCACTGATCAGAATGTTGTTATGGAAATGGAAGGGTTTTAAAAAATGAAAATTTAGGAAAATATAAGCACACTCTACTATCCTTCATCAAATAATTCAACGAAATTATAATCCTATAGCCATTCCTCGTTGAAAAACAGTATGTATTTACAGTGACAAACGCAAACGAAGCCTTTGCATTTTCACTTGACATTGTTTTCTGTCCACAACAGATATGCTTATATCGTTTCTCTATGTTATTTAGATAAATTGTGCTTTCCCACAATACTATGCTACAAATAGCACTCCAAGTATAATCCAGACGACTCAGTAATGTAGAAATCACAATCTTGAAGAACAATCATAGAGGAGCCACATTTTCTTTTCAGCACACAATCCAAGAAACCTTTGTAATTTTTTTTTTTAATCGAGTTGAAGTCCTGGTCTCACCAACATAAACAAAAGGAAAGGAAAGGAAAAAAAAAGGCAAATAAGGAAGGAAATCCTTAGGAATAGGAAAGCGTTCCATTCCTTTCACTTATCATATGCTGAACTCATATTTTGTTTCTGCTTTCGCTTCTCATTCTTATATATATATATATATATATAAGATACACATATTCAGAATTCATCTTCTACTTTCCAGTATCAAGCTTCAGTCAACAAGGCTACATTTAATAGATGATGATATTTCCTACCCCTCCTCTGCTTTGCAAGGGAAAGTGCTACAGGTCTAAGTACCCCTTTAGTCTGCTTAGAAAGGAAAAGGTACATGCTAACTCGTGTATCACATGAAGAAATTCTAAGGGCAGGTCCATTTCAAAAGCAAAGGCAAGGTCCCTAAGCAGGTCAATTATATTAGTATGCAAAAACTTCAAGGGGAAAAGTTAAGTGAAAGGGAAAACAGAACATTCATAGTTCAGAATAATTAATTAAACACAGACACAAATCTTCATCTATCACATGCCATCACATGCAACTGACTAGAAGAAAAACAACTTTGATGCATCACATGTAGAGTTTTGAAGCTCAGTGAGAAGCTGAGTTGTTCTAGTTTGATAATCCAATCTGAATGCTGGTTCATTGCATGAATATACTACTAGTACACAAGAAATAGACGTATAGTTTACCCAATTAAAGGACAGGTTGTAAATTTAATATCATAAAAGTAGTTTCCAGTTCTTATGAAACTATATATAAGGTACTGTGCTGATGGTAAAATGTCATCAACAAGTCTGAGGTTTTACATTATGGAATTCACGTGTCACCCATTTATATCAAAAACCATTTCAGCCACCAGGTATATTTTTCATGTTTTGGCACAGGCAAGGGAAATCAAATGAGAAAGGAAAGGGAATCAAGGACCAATGGAGAAACTAAAAATCTACCGAGCCCGTCAACCAATGCCAAAAGCAAAGAGAGGAAAGAAACCAAAAGAGGACAAAGGGATAAAATTAACTAAACAAGCAAGCAAACGATCTTTGTAGCCCATACTAAACATACAACCACCTGTTTTGCGATATTTTCATCAGCAGTATGAGACAGAAGATTTGTGGTGCCTAGGAACTAGGAAGGAATGACTAAAGAAGTTCTAGAGAGTTTATCCTACTAGCTTGGAGGACACATGCACTCCTTTCCATGGATATATGGACCAAATAATGCTGTTCAACATCAACACAGGGATTTCCAAAATAATTTCCTTTCTTTTTTAATCGGACCAATGTAGTAGGTGCAAGTGCATTCAACGTCCAACAATTTCTAGTCACATCTGTCAGGCGGTCCATGATTATTCAATCTCGGACGCCAGACCGGACTTTCAGCTTCTTTGCTGGGGTTGTGGTTCGAACAATAGTCAAATTTGTAACTTGCTTTTTAAACAACTAACCTGAGACTTCAAATTAATAAATGGGTGAAATTCAGTATATGCACTTCTACTGTACCATATTATATTGTTTATTTTAATTTTTTTATTCAAATAGGATGAAAAATAAATCTGTTATTGAGATAAATCAACTCTTCCATCCAATTTCTAATAAATTATATCATAACACGTGATTAACGGAGCAAGATAGAAAAACTAATTTATAAATAATACAGAATTTATTTTGTATCGTATCCAAATAAAAAAAAATTAAAATAAACAATATTACATTCAAGTTTATGAAGTAAATTTCACCCATTAATAAATTTCGGATTCAAATTCTAGAATGGATGGCGCGATATTAATAATAACTTAGCAATTTTTGTGACTATATACGTAGCTCTATCTATATGTGGCCATATGCATCTCCAGCTATTTCTGTTTGACAATATAATTTCAAAGGCAAACAGAAATAAATTACTTTATGTTGTTTTGGGAGTGTCAAGTTCCCGATTCCTTTTCCCAATTCTAGTGGGCTGCTCCTTGAGCATGGTGTCATGATAAATTAGTAATCAAAACAGGAAAAAAAAATCGATAAAAATAAAAAATACAACAGATTTTATAGAAAAGGACATACTAGTTGCTAATTATTTTTTTTAAGATAATTCTACTATAACTATATTAATTTTTAATGTTTTCTCAATTGAGTATAAAAACTTTAATTTTTCTGTTTAATTACATTAATTTTTTTTCAAAACTGTCAATTAAATATTTATATTCAACTTCTATCATTAGCTCTATTATTTGATAATGTGTTATTTTCTAATCTATTAAATTATAATTTTATCCTTTTATTTTTAGAAGAAACTTTTCCTCTCATATTGTTTTTCATTTTCTACTTTTCGTATAATAAATACATAAATTATTCTTTTATCTAAAAAATAGAAGATGTGAAAAGAAGAGTTTTCTCAAAAAATAAAATCTTAATTTAGTAGTGTGAAACAAATAATTCATTATTAAATAACAGAACAATTGATAGAAGTTAGAAGAAAAATATTTAATTGATAGTTTTAAAAAATTCAATGTACTAAAAAAATAAATTGATATACTTGATTGAAAAAGATAATAAAAATTGGAATAATTATAGTGCAAATATACCTAAATTTTCTGAGTAAGTGCTTCTGAAAAGAATGAAGATAATAACAAGAAAAATGCTTTCTGGAAGTCAAAAGGCAGACAATGTGGACCCGGATTAACTTGCAAGGTGGAAATATTGGTAAAAATCGACCAGTCCTTTTTGCTCTCGTCAATTTTCCTCTTTAGGTTACTGCTTTTTCACATTACATTTCCATTGATGAAATCATAAGGAAAAAGATGGGGACCTTTTTTTTTCTCTTTTTTTTTATTGAAGAAATTAGGGTATGCTCATGTCTTTTGAGGTTTTAAAAAATTAATGTATAGATAAACCGATCATTTTCGTGTATTCTCACGTCAGCTATTGGGATTTCCCGCATATCATTTATAAACAAACTAGTGTACTTATAAAAATTTATTTCATTACTACCCCTAAGGTTTAGAATTTGGCATATGTTTAAAATAGTAGTATACTCTCTGATCTGAAAATATTATCTTTTTTTTTTTTTCACCCACACATTAATAAACACTATAAATTGTTATATTATATAAGCAATTTTGTTTATATATATTTTTTAAACTACTTTTTATAAAACCCAACATTATTGATTTTTTTAAAAAAATTTTTTTTATCTTTTTGGCACCGACGTTCTCTATGATTCTGTTGATATTTTATACATATGTGCTATTTTAAATTCCTCAATAATTAACTTTTTTAAAAAAAAAAAGGAACACAATAATTGACCTTAGAAAAAGTTATTTTAAGAAAAGAGAAAAGACGAAAGATTTACGATGACGAACGCATCTTGCATATTGCATCATTAATTGTATCATACAGATTAAATATTTTAGAACACGCTTTTTAAAAAGTAGAAAACCGTAACACTCATTTAATTTGTATTTCCACCTCCCTCTTTTAATATTTACATAAAATTTATTTATCGATAATTTGTTAACATATATATATATGTTATAAAATGTTCTTTGTTGTACGTGAAGTCACTAAAAAAGAGACTCCGAAAGTGTTTTAGAAACTATCAATGTTATGGGAGGTAAAATTATCAATTTTAGAAAATTTTCAGTTGAATGCTTTATGGGGAACATCGATGGGTACTATAACACTAACCGTATGGACTATAATTCTATAAACATTTATGACTGATCACTTACGTCACGTATATTATAAAAATAACAATAGAAACACGTCATTTACTAAATTAATAAGAATTTTAAAGCAGACATCGAAACAGTCACATAGCATGTACTGAATTAATAAGAATTTTAAAGCTTAATTCTTGATTTCAACTAAATGGTTTTTCAGATAAATTTAAGGTTAACTAAATTTTAAAAAATGAGTATTTTAGTTTTTTAAATAATATAAAATTAATTTTAATTTAAAAACTTTCTAAAAAGATAATGTTTTTTTTTTCAAAATATTAGAACAAACACTTTTAATAATCAAATGGAAAGGGTTAGTGTAGCTGCTAGCACTTCTCGTACGGAAATAGAAAAACAAAACTGATAATTTAGTACCCCATTTGTTTCCAGCCTCTCAATTGTTTTATATCTTAAAAAAAAAACTCTTTTTTTTAAGAATATTATTAAAATATGAGAACTGACAAGGGAATAAAATACTCTATGAATATTTATTATTTTGAGTTTTGACAAACAGAAGAGGTGTGTGATCACCATCGCATTCAGAAGAGAGTAATATTCCCGCACAGGAAAAAGTTTAATCGTCTCCACAGACCACAAGGAATAGCAAGCAGCAGAAGAAGTGGGCAAATTATTGACTATTAATAAAAACTTATATATCTTCAAAAAATTAAAACCCAGAAATGGAGATTGGAAAAAAAAAAAAAAACACTGAGAGTACTGAGTATACACTCAAATCAATAATCATACCATTCAATCTGAGAGAACCCAAAAAAAAACTAGCATGCAATTACTCAAGAATGATAGAAAAAATCTTGAGCCAGTAACACATTCATGGATTGATTTCAAAATCAACCCAATAAACACAGAAGTTATATTGCCATAAATACATGGCATGTTAGAGAAAGAACAAAAGAGAAAATACGTACCAGGATGTAAGGCAGAGAGATGATATTCCTTATAACAAGCCATTGAAGACCATAACCAAAGAACCCCATGAAAGCAGCCATGAAAAGAACCACCCATAATGGCAAATACAAGAGAGCCAATCCAGAAGACCATCCAAAAACTTTTCCAAGATCAGAGGCAACAGCCAAGTAATTCAGTTGCACCTGAGAAATCCCAAGAATAGATTTTAAATCCGATGAATAAGCAGAGAAATCGAAATTTGTCCCTGTAAACGCTTGAATCCATATAGTTGCCACCAATATCATCCATTTCCTGGACTGTCCTGCCATGAACACACTTTTTGCAATAATATAGCTTCGAATAAAGACGCCGGCGATAACAACCTCCGGTAGTGATGGTGGTGCCGGCCGTAGAATGTTTAAGTTGTTAGAGAATTTGCGACTCTCATTATCCCTACGTGGCCTTATTTATACATATATTGTAAGGTTTTTTCTTTCCCCTTTTTCTTTCGATGGGCAATGACGGCGACTGTTTGTATTTTTTGTCTGCCTGATAGAAATGTTTTTTAACATTTTACCTTATTCACATCTAGGGGACGCTAGTTCTTTCTACATGCAACACTCAGACCGAATAGAATAATAAATTATTTGAAAAAATTTTATTATAATTTTATGATTCTCATCATGCTATAAATCAATTAAAATATATCAAATAAAACAAGTTTTTCTATTTTTATACATTTTTAATCAAAACTTTCTACTTAATTAATTCTTTCTTACCTTTTTTTTAAAATAGATTTTTTTATTTTTAAATAAAAATATATAATAATCTAAAACACAAATTTCAATTAATCATAAATATAAAATAAAAAGAATCATAAATTTTATTTTCATAAGATTGCATCTAAAAAATAAAAAAATAATTAATGTAAAAAAATTGCATAAAGATTAAAAGTTTTAAATGAATTTTTATTCTTATTGAATGACAAGTTTATTTTTTTAATATATATATAATTCCCAAAACAATCAATAATATTATTATAAAAAAAATTGTTTCAAAAATATGGTAATATCGGTGTTTTTTTTTAAATGTAATTTGTAATTATTTTATTTAAGAAAAAAATTGATTTAAAATATTAAAAAAAAAGTAAATATAAGTGTTTTGTGTGTGTATATGCATAATCAATTTTCAATAAAAAAAACCCCTATAAAATTAATTTCAATAAGTTTTGATTATAAAAATAAGTAATAAAACATGTAGATTTTTTTTCCTTCTTAACAAATATTTTTATTTCTAAGTCTCACATGTTTGGTTCTCGTGTATAGGCTTCAAATGTATAACAATCAATTTTCTATTTTATTTCATTTCTTTATTTTAGTTATTGCTAAAAAAAACTCAAAGATATGATGCTTACTAAAAAATTTAAATCAAATTCAAAAACTCCAATGAATAGTTTAGGGTATTGATCTATTTTCATTTTATAGTTTGAAACCACCATAAACAAATTCACTTCTCTATAGTTAACAAATTGAAACCAAGATCAACGAGTTAACGTAGCTAGAATAGTAGTTTATCTTTATTTCTCTCTCTTTGTTTTTCTCTCGCATGCGAAACAAAACTACATATAAATGAAGTTAGACATTGAAAGAAAAGTTTTTTTTTAAAAAAAATCAAGAACCAAAGTGCAATACTTGGTAAAATTTCATGTTAAATGCATGGAAAATATTGAAAATCACAATAATAACATTACAAATGCATGAACAAATGATGAAAATTACAACAATACCACTACAAATGCATGAACAAATGGTGAAAATCACAACAATGTCAATGACTAGTGTACATGAGAAAATTACAATAATACCAAGTAAATAGTGTAGATGAGTGTGGGTGAATAGTGATTGAATAATAAACACTTTACTTTTTTTAGAATTTCTTGTTAATAATTTATTTATTTACTTATTCCTTTGCAAGATTGAAGGGCGTAATATAATGCTAATTATTGGAGTATGTGATGCATTTTAAGAATTCATGTGTTATTTATTTGAAGTATAAATTTTTAAGGATGATCCAAGTTTTTATAGGAAGGAATGCTAATACAAAATCTTTTCAATTATACATGTAATGGTATATGGAAAGACAAGAAGAGTAAACTAGTAATTGTTAGATCTTTATTTAATTAAGATAAACACAAGGTAAGTTTAATTTAAAAAACAAAATCAATTTTTTATATTTACATAACAAACAAATAAACAAGATTGATGATATGTTCATTATAGGGTTTAAAGGGTATTTTTGAAAAAGACTTGAAATATGTGTATCATAGATTATGTGTTAGACATTTATGGCAAAATTTCAAGAAGTCTTTTGGCAATCAAGTTTTAAAATACCATGCGTGGAATGCTGTCAAATCATACACACCGAAGACATTTCAGTTACACATAAAGAAAATCAAAAAGTTGGATGAACAAGCTTATCGGCACCTAATAAATTTGAATTTGGAAAATGATGTTAAATCATCTCATTGTATGATTTTAAGGATTTAGTTTTTTATAGTCTATTGAATCTAAGAAACTTTTATGTGTTAGACTTTTAAGTTTAAATTCAATAAATTAAAAGAAAGAGCATATCTGTTTAGAATTATTTAATTTATAAATATATAATAATATTGAGTTGAGTGCACAAATGAGTGGCACATCTATGTTGATTACAAATAGAGACAATGTGGTGCTTGTGGTCATGTTTTTTGGTTTGAAAATGATATCAATATTACGTTTAAATTTATCGTAATAAGTTTTTTTTTCCTTTCCCACAACATGGTTGTATTAAGTTTGATTTTGTAGTGTTAAAAACAAATTAGATATTAGGCACCCATATGAGTGAGAATTATTTGCCCTTTCTTTACTTAAACACCAACAACTATGACAATGTTTTGCTGTAAAGGTGTTGTTTGTTATGATATTGTGTTTGTTAAAAATCAATATTGTCGACGATGGCTCGTAACATTTGCATGGGAATATGGAGTCTCTACCTATCTAATGAAGAAGAACTAGAAAACCCTAAACAAATTAGTTTGCATATATATCTAGGTAAGGGATTGATTATATATGGAGAAGATATGACATCACTATCATCTTGTCTTACCTAAAGTAGATTGCATTGAATGCATGTGAAAATAAAAGTCTGGTTTTATTATGTTATATTTCTATGCCTATTTAAATAAATTTATGTTATTGGGATAGGTGGATAGAAATTTGAATTTTGGTTGTGAACTTGTATTAGAAAAAGGCAAATCTTATAGGATTATGAGGCCATATCAATGTAATTAAGAAACCGTCGACAATTTTATCTATATAAACAGGAAGTTAGTTGATAATTTCTATTCACATGAGCATAGATTAAATTTTTCGCTAGCTTCCATCGCTAATTGCTGATTTTCTTGTAGTGTCTCGGCATCATGCATTCATGATAAATAATTCTTACCCAAAATGTCAAGGGCTACAACATTAAATTTTTTGAGGTTTGATATGATAAAAATTCTACAATACAAGATATAATAATAATGTTAGAAAATAATAAAAAAATATAACGATAAGATTCAAACTTTTCAAATAACATATATTAGATCATTAGAATTTATGTTAGATCATTTAAGTTTTTTAAACATATACAATATGTACCATTAGATTTAAAGTAAAAGATAAATTAGATACATATTTTTTAATATTTTAGATGATTTATGTTTTTTGGTAGAGCAATCGTACCGATAACATATTATAAAAGAAATAGTAACAATCGTAGAATTGAAGAGAAAGATGATATAAAAATGAATTCACTATAAAATAAAGTGAATAGAAGTGATAAGAACTACAAATTATTCGCTTAATCCGTACAAAATACTTGTACACAAACTAATGAATAATCATGCCTAGTTATAAGCTTCAAAATTAAGAAGAAAATTAGAAGGGACTATGAACAATTAAAAATACATAAATTATCGAACCAATTGGATCACCTTTTTAATTTCTCATATTGAATGGTGAATTATATCACATTAAAAATTATAAGTTATGGAATATGAAAAACATATAAACATTTATATAGACATTCATTATTTCATAACACTTCTCTATTTTTTCTCTTTTTTTTGGTATTTTTTTTCTCTTTTAACTCACAAGTTTAAAAAAATTAATTGAGTTAAAAATTAGGTGCTATCAAATATCACAAAATGAATTGATAATTTAATTTTTTTTTATTTGAAGTAATTTGTAAAGATATGGAATTTATAGAAACAAAGTTTTTGAAAGTTCAAAGTGCTAAATTCTTATCTATTAAGTAATTTGTGATCGAAGAGAAAAAATTCATGTTCTTGCATTTACTTTGGAGTCGACAAAATAATCTAATTGTGCTTATCAGATAAGGTTCTTGTAATACTCTTTTATGACTAAAATCATTTTCCATGGAAAAAATAAGAAAAGAAAAAAAAACAACAATTAACTCATAAATAGATACGAAGTAATTGAAAATAAAAAAAGCATCATCACATTGGATGCTTTTGTAATGTCATTACTATAACATTAAAACACTAAAATAGGCGAGGGGTTTGAACAGTGAAAATCATTGTTTACTCGCTTATAAACTACTATTCATTATTGTACCTTAGTTTTTTTTTTTTTAATTTTTAAGTTGTTTCATTTTGATCCCTACAGTTTTAAAATAAAAATTTTATTCTCCTACCGATGCCTTTTCTTTGGTTTTTTCCTTTGAATGAAAAAAAAAAACATAAGTTTACTATTCATTGCACTATTTCAAACACTATTAATCCAAACGCCTACGCACTATTCATCCATACTCATATGCATTATTCATTTCACTATGCGAGTGGTATTTTGTTTTTTTAGTTTTTTAAACAATTTTTATGACATTTATTATGAAAGTTTTCATTATATTACACTTTGGTCTTTTTTTTAAATATATTTTTTTTAAGTTCAAAATTTTTTTTATTGATTTTGGTCTCACTTTTTGGTTTCATTTTGATCACTTTGGTCCTTACTTTTTTTATCTGATTTTTTAATTAAAAATTTGAAGGCAAAAGGATGTATAGAAAAAAGAATTTACAAAATAAGTATTTCGCTAAAAATATGGAAAGAGATAAATAAATTATGTTTTTTAATAAAAAATTTATAATATTGTTACGACATTTATAATAAAAGTTTTTATGACATTACACTTTGATTTTTTTTTAAAAAAAATATATTTTTTTTAAGTTTAAAAATATTTCTTATTTTATTTTGATCCCATTTTTTGTTTCATTTTGATCATTTTAGTCCTTACCTTTTTTTCTCTGATTTTTTTAATTAAAAATTTTAAGGCAAAAAGATTTTTAGAAAAAAATTTACAAAATAAGTTTTTAGCTAAAAATATAGATAAAGATAAATAAATTATGTTTTTTAATAAAAAGTTATAAAAATATAAAGAATAATTAGTCAAATATAAAATTTTGATTAAAAAATGATAAAATTGAATGAATGTTTATTCAATTTTGATTTGATATATTTTGGTAAACGTGTAATATAATACGAGATATGAAAATGAAATAATTTTTTATATTTTGTTTAATCTCCAAGCATAACATGGGTAAAAAAATTAGTTTCATTACTAAAAACAATGATATATATTTTTTTAATTTTCATTATTATATGTATTCAATGGACACCAAATAAATTTAAAATTAAATATTCCAAATCTATGCGATTTTTCTAGACACCAATGGCATGTTTATCGCCGAACATCTCAATGTTGTTATTTAATTTTGATAATTTTTTTTATGAGCTGATATATTTAACACAATACTCATTATATTGTATAAATCACTAATAAAAATAAATATACACTGCTATAAAAAGTTCTCAATCCACATGTAAATTTTATATTCAAAATTTTATCAAGTAAAAAAAAAAAAAAACCTAAAAATGTGATTGACTGGAGTTTTTTTATATATATATATATATATAAAGACTGTATTAAGATTTTTCAACAAATTTTTAACCTAATTCTATTCGTACTTAAAAAATAATATCATTATTTTTTTTCTATTTTTTAAGAAAATAAAGACTATGAGGGAAAAAAAATTATAAAAGAAGAATGAAAGAAAAAAATTAGGCACATACCGACCACGCATCGTCTCTACTTTTTTTTTTTTTTTTTTTTTTTAATGGAAAACACCTTAGAGTCATCGTAGATACTCTGGTCAACCTATTCCTAGCATTTTTAGGTTCCATTTTCATCTATTTTTAAACAACAAATAATCAAATAATTTTTCAAAATCAATTCCTGCATTGGGGTTTAATTAGATCTATTTTTTTTCGGTCATTTTCTCCCTCCTTCTCCATTTCTCAAACCACTGTGCCTCTTTTAGATCAATGGAACTAGAAACTTTTTCAGAAATTTGGCTATTTCCAGTAAAATTTGCATAACGGATGCCGGTTTTCTTTTTGTTTTTTGTTTTTAATGGGAGGTTACTCTCCATTTTTAACAGTAAAAAGCCTTCACGGTTTCAGTGTTTTTTTTTTTTTTTTTAATTTGTACATGTATGAAAAAAAAAAGAAATTTTCTTAAAAAGATGTACATGTAAGGTTCTAATTTTTGTTTGTAGATGCACATGAATGAGCGACGTACTAGCATTAATGTTCATGTGGCAGCATGTGAGCAATTGGAGTATTGGCGATGCGAGAGCAGACCTGTACGTACAATGTTGTGGGATATGAAATCATGATTCATGAATGGTTATTTACGCGTCGATCTGAAAGCAGGGCTCCAGCTCTCCTATATAATTCCTCTTCTTTTTATTAAAAAGAAGATGATTATTTGTATGATTACGACCAAATTGTGATCACACGTCGGTTTTCAGATGGCAAATGCCAAACGGGAATCCCATTCTCTTCCATTTTCAAAATAATTCGCCACTGGAAAAAAACAATTAAATAAATACTTTTGACTATACAATGTGAATATGGTGACAATCAAGGACATGCAAAGTGGTGGGGCCCTGGAACTTTGGCTCCAACACGAAGCCTTCTTTAATTTATTTATTTATTTTTGTCAGCCGATCAAAGGGCTCCAACAAAAAGCTAGGGATTGTCAAAAGATCATTTGTGGTCTGATAATAACGGAATGGTTCACTTGCCGATTCTCTTCTTGGGTGTCAATTCAATGCTGAGCTGATTGCCAAAAGCACGACTAACTTGTAGTTTAATTAGCAAATTAAATAGCTGTGCAGTGAGGTGTTTTCTCACGCCCAGTGGGCCATGTTTTGTGACATAGGTCTGACCTGTTGAGACAGTTCCCCTGCAACTGCATAACTTGGCAGAGATATATACAACTCAAGATTCCCAGTGGGAGTCACTATGCATTCATTCATCATCAACAACAACTAAAAACGAAGAGGTACCAAAGGGGTTTAATTTCAAATTGAAATTCTTCCAGTGCAAAAAGATAAATTTGCTATTGATAAGCAAAAATCTATCGTTGTCAACAAATTAAGTAAAGAAAAAAATATATGTTGTAGATATTCTGATTGTTGTAAATCGGAACCCTTGATTTTGTACACAACCTAGCCAACCAACGAATCTTCGTTATTATTGCTCAATGTTGTTCTTGGAGTATTATAATCATGGGTAAAGCATTAAGAAGTAGGGGTCATCATTCATTTTTTCACTTCCATTTTTAACATTTCGATTCTATTTTTAGTAAATCGAAAAGAAAAATTAACAATTTTGGTGAAAACCATTTCTTTTTTTCGACCTTTTTATTTATTTGAAAATAATATGAACAAACCAAAACAATTATGTTGAGGATTATGGAATCCTTCCTCTAGCCTAGATGATCTAATTAGCCTATATAAAAGATAATAAATATTTATTTAAATAAATTATTAACTTCATGATTCATAATAAAAATGCATTCCATTTTAAAAAATAAAAATAATATAATTGATTGGAATAAATAAATAAATAAAATATGATATAAATAATTAAGATCTTTCAACGATAATATTCATACATGCCAATGAATCATTAATTTTCAAATCTTGTCATTATATATAAACATCATGTCAAGTCAAATAATCTATCAAAATATTAACATTTGAAAATTTTATATATCAAACAAATAAAAATTAAAAACTTACATATGTCGCTCAAATCACTATCAATCTATCATATATCTATAATAATATCGAAATGTGGTTTTTTATATTTATTAATTTATATTATTAAAAAAGTAAGAAAAAAATAATTTGTAGTTTAGACTAAATAAAAAATTTCAAAAATTGAAGTGAAACAAAAAGATTGAAATAAATTAAGTTCATTTTTTTTTTAATTTTTGAATTAAAAACCGAATCTAAATTGCTGTTCAGTTTGGTCTTTTGGTTTAAATTGAATACTGCTCGCCACTATTAAGAAGCATTTAGTATGGTTAATTATTAATTCATTAAATTAGGAAAGAGAATGTTGTAAGTATCTTATTTATTTAAAATCATTTTCAGAAGTTAAAACTACTTAATTAGCCTTTTATATTTCTAAGAGAGTTTGTTATATCTTAGTAATATTTACTTTTGATTTTTATTGGTAACTCCTACCACCGTTTTTTTTTTTTTTTTTTTTTGAAATGATCTTTGTCAATAATAAAACTAAAATGTACTGAAAAATAAACAGCTAATCTCATAAACCTCATAGTTGATATTTGTTGGTAAGTTAATTCTGTAAGATAATTATGTAAAATTAATAATATTCAAAATTAAAAACCAATCTTTTTAGTAATCAAAAAATTAATTTTTATTCTAAAAATATAATCTTGAATTTTTTTTTTTTTTTTTAGAGTATGACAGGGGAGTTAATTTTTTTTTTTTTAAATATATTTTATAAGTTTAAATTAACCATAGTTGGAGGTTGGTGTTATTTATTGATGTTAATTATGTCTCTCTCATCACATATAGTTTGGGGACCAACTTAATTAAATGTAATGTGGTCCTTAACTCAATTAATACGCAACTTGCAGAATTAACTAGCGAGGGCGTTAAATTGCCGATTGCCTATTTGTTGTTCATTCTTTTTGCGAAAAAATGAAACCAAAACATTATAATCTGTTGGTTTCTATTAATTCTTAAAAAATAATAATAAATAAACTTGTAGACAATCTACGTCATATAATAATAATTTAAAAAGAAATGTGTTGGACAATCCAATCATAGCTAATGGTATCAAAATCATTTTTTCATAATTTATTGCTTCTTGTGTTACAAAGTCAATCCAATTAAAACACTGGGAGCAACATACTTAATAACCTTTTGCTTGCCAAATGTTTCCTTCATTTGTTCGGTACAACAACTATTGCTGCCAAATAAATCTCATATACATTTAAAAAAGGATAATTTGAACGGAATAAATTTTAATTATTTTAAAAAATAGTCTCGATTATATATATATATATATATATATATATATATAATTGTGCTTATTTTGTATTTTTAATAAATAACGAAAGATTAGTTAGAAAATTTGAGCGAGGATCAGAAAATAAAAATAAATCTCGTATATTTGATGAATTGACGTTAGGCTGTGCTGTTCATGCATTTAGCATGGATTGGAAAAAGCTGTAGAGGGTCGTTATCTTGGTAGTATAGATATGCGCATGAGCTTAAGCATGTGTAGCAGTGCTAATCATCAGGTACTAAACCATGTGCTTAAGCATATATAAATCAACTCTCTGTTTTATGAATTCATGTGCCTGCTAAGTGTTAATTCACGAGCAGATCGAGTATACAATACAGCAAACTATATATATATATATATAGGAATTACAATTCCAAACGTCTCAGTTTGCATATATATATATATATAGGAATTACGATTCCAAACGTCTCAGCTTGCACCAGTAGTAATTAATTCCCTATATATTGTCACTATGTTTGTTTGTTTTCCTATTTTCCTTATATATATACATATATAAAGGATTACTTGTCGGCATAATACCGTTGGCTCAAACAACTGGAGTTGCATTTGCTCAATCAGGTGAACCCTTGTGCCCCGACGAGGGGCGGAGCTGCATTAAGTACCAAGGATAAACACAAAGAATAGATATGTACAATGTAAATTCAAATAGTAGTTCAATAGGCCTAGAATTCTTGCATCCTAGTAAAACTCTGCATCCTTGTACACTTATATATACTATAACAGAACTTAATAAAAGAATGCTTTTTCCAACTCACTTTAAAATCAGTTCATGGTATCAAAGCCATACACAGCTTAAAAGCTTCATAAACCAATCCATGGCCTCTTCTACCTTTGAAAAACAAATTTTTTCCTTCAATGCTTCACTCATCTTCCCACCAACCTTACCAAATCCAACTTCTCCGTATGGCGGACTCAAATACACTCGCACTTATTGGCTACAATCTTCTCGATCACATTGATGACTCATCGCTCCCACCAAAACAAACCCCGGATCCCAAAGACATAACAAAAACAATTATCAACCCCACATATCTCACCCGGTGCAAGCGGGATCGGTTTATCCTAAACGCCATACTAGGAAGCTCCGTCCCTAAAATTCAATCACACATATCAACGAGCCTCATCTTCACATGCGGCATGGTCTAGACTCTCCGTTATGTTTGCCAACAAATCCCATTCTCACATCATGTCCCCGAAAGAAAAACTACATGATAATCCTCATGGCACTCGCACCATAGCTGAATATCTACGGGACGTGAGAGCTATTGTTGATGCTCTTGCAATTGCCGATAGCACCATGCACATCTTAAAAAGGAGTCGGTGAAGAATTTTCACATATAGTCGATGCTCCATGTACGTGACACATCAATAACATTTGATGAACTTTTTGACAAATTAGAAACATGGTCGGCTTTATAATATATGTGGCCCTAGGCAAAATAATATTTTAGAGACTTTTTCATAAAACAAATAAATATTAAATATTATTTAAAATTTATTTTTCTTGCTTTACGAGATGCAAAATCTCTAATTAAACTTTTGTATTCTAGTTTATAAAGCAAATCTTTTTTAATTGATAATATAGTCAAATTACTTAATCTTTCTTGTGACATAGTTGAATGTAAATAGAGTTTATTAATTTTAATTTTGAAAAACTTCTTTCAACTTGAAACTATAGTAACATGGATAGTTAATAGTACTCTATATGCTATCCATGCATTTGGAAAAGAATTTACCTTTTTTTATAAAATTTAGTATGGCAAGTAGTGTTTTCATTTCCATAGTTATAATTTCTTTTAAAACTTTTAATTCTGAAAATAAATCTAAACCATCAATATCAAAAAGCATATTGTGGTTTAGAAAGTTTTCAAGATTTAAATAAGTTTTTTTCAAAATATCATCATCAAGTGATTTTAATTTTTCTATACTATAAAGAAAACCAAAATTATCTTCATATACTTTAAATTCTTCAAACCTATTTTGAAGAGAGGAAATCGCATGATCAACTAAATATGTAAAATAATTAATTCTAAAAGATTCTTCAACGGATAATTTCATATCTTTATTTTTAATCTCATCAAATTGTTTCTTTCATCTTATTGTACGCTTTTCACGAAATTTTGGTTCTATATTCATTTGCTCTGCAATTTCTTTAGCCAAAATCATAGAAGATGTAAATCCATTTTCTCTATAGCTTTTAAAAAAAGAAATAAGACCTTTTAAGTGGTCTATTGCAAGAGCAATATCCATATCTTTAGATTGTAAATATTTACTAACCGTATTAACGAGCAAACAACATATTATACCAAATAATCATGCCTACTAGAAATTTAAAATTTTCAATCTCATATGTTACTAAAGACATACCTTTACTTTTTTGTTTTAGAATCATCACAAGTTTCTGCTAATTGATATAAAGCATCTCTTATTTGTTAAGCTTGAAATCTAATTGCTTTAACATTTTCAATAAGACTTTCCCAACGTGTTTGTGATAATGGCTTAAGTGTCAAATTAGAAACATGATCTTTTAAAATTTTTCATCTTTTTGTAGAAGAAGAAAATAATGAATATATGCGTTGTGTCACTCCAAAAAATGTTATAGCACTAGCACATGAATTAGCCATATCACAAAGAACTAAATTAAGATTGTGACCGCCACATAGTGTATAAAATGCTTTAGAATTTATGTCTAATAATCTTTTTTGTACACCTTGATGTTTACCTTTCATATTAGACCCATTATCATATCCTTGCCTCGTCACATCATTTACGTCAAGTTCAAGAGTTTTTATCTTACTTGTAAGTTCATTAAAAAGACCTTCATCGTAGGTATCATCCACTTTTAAAAAATCTATAAAATACTCTTCTATTTTTATTAGAATTGTCAAAATATCTACATATATTAATATAAGAGACATCTCGTTCTTGATGACTTGCATCCGAAGTACAATCAAGTATAACTGAAAAATATTTTGATTCTTTGATTTTTCCGATAATGGTATTTCTTATTTCTAATGCTAAAATATTTATCAACTCATTTTGTATATTATGACCAAGATAATGCATATGAATATAATACTTCTACGGTGTTTTTGTATTATTGGATCAAACTCAGCAATCATTTCAATTAAACTAAAATTTTTTTCATTATTTTTCCGATAAATCTTCTCATTTGTACCACGAAATGCCAAATTATTTTTTGAAAGAGCTTTTACAATAGCAATATTTCTTAATACTACATTCCTCCAATGCTCTTTTTCTTTATTTATTTTCTCTTGTAAATGCTTATCAATTGTTTTATTTTTAAGCAATCTCATCTAAGCATCAACCCAAATGTTCCTATTAATAGCATGTTCATTACTTGTCTCATGAATTTTAAGTTTGGCACTAAAATTTTTCCAATCTCCACACCCTTCATTTGCTAATTGAATATTGAATTTCAAACTAAATAATTACAACAATAACAAAACACTTTATCTAACTCTTTTGAATATACTAGCCATTTTCTATCATGCTTCTCTCTGTTTGGTAATTTTCGAATGTAATGAATCGTAGAAAAATGTCTAGAATTTTTATCTCTTGAAAAATCTAAAATTTCTCTAATTGGACCTTTCTCAATTGATTTTGAGTCTAAATTTTTCCATTGTGCCGGATTGTAAATATTTTTAATTCTTGTTGCATCTTCATCATTAATATTTTCATTTTTATTGATTGAAACATCATCTTCTAAATTTTTATCATATTCTTCATTACTTTTTGGTGAATTTGAATTATTATCTTTAAATTTTTCTTCATAATTTTCAACTATATTTTTATTTAAATTTTTATCTTGTTCTTCTAGTATTTGAGGTTTAATATTAGTAACAAATCTATCAAGTGTACCTTTTTGGGATTGAATTATTTCTTTTATCTTTTTTTTCCTTACGTTTTTCATATCCAGATTCATACTTTATAGTAGATTTTTTATTCAAATAATAAAATTAAAATATAATTATAAAAAGACTAAGAAACTTTAGCACCTAATTATATTTGCATGCCATACCTAATTAAGTAAACCTGGAGAGAATCACTCGAAAAATAAAAAGAAATTTGAGAAAAAATAAAATATTATATGATTTATGTACATAATTTTATTTGCATAAATTAAAAATTACCTTCGCATTCTTACGCCAAGCTAATTAGAAAAGGTTTTATAAGATATCCATGATTGTTTAAAGAAAGCAAGGAATACAATAACAAAATTTGGAGATCTAAAAATTATTTTACTCATAAATATTTTTCTAAAACTTTTCTATAAGTAAAAGTGTCTTACTAAAATAAAAATTGAAAGTTTTTATAAGTAGAAGGTAATCGAAAAGACATTTAGAAAAGATAGAATTTTTAACATTGAAATAATAATATCTTTGAATAATGGGAGCTTTTCAATGCGAAACTCTAGTACCTATGACTCGTTAATAGAGATAAAAATGACGTCTCATACTTAGGTAGAGACTGCACCTTTTAATTTATCTTATTCTTCATCGATACAGACCTTAAGGTAAAATTTTAATTGGGGGCTCCTTTTACATGGGGGCCCTAGGCATAGGCCTTAATGGCCTATGCCTTGAGCTAGTATCGATTAGAAAAGTATGAAAGAAGGCTCCAACAACGAACAAAATACCAACCTATCACTCATACTTTAATAGCCCATTACACTTCACGGACGACTTTAGTCCACAACACCTGGAATTCCGGATTCCAACATGGCACCTTTTGGGCACCATGACACTCCAAAAGACATGGCCATAACCAATAATCTCCAAATTGCTCAATCTGCGGAACACACATCCAAATACCCAAAGGTCTTCAAGAAAGACAACATCATTTTGCAACTTTTATGAGATACCGAGCCACCTCTCCCTTGATCGTCGCAAGTTGTCCAAATTTCTAAAAAAATAATAATATAATTATGGGCTAAAACACTCAAGACAACTCCTCAACATCTACGACCAATCCAGACCTCCGTTGGTTTGAATGCAACTCAACCCGGGTTGTTTGGCTCTAAAGCTTCTCATCATGTTATGGGTAATGTGCAAAACTTGACCTCTTATTCGGACTATGTTGGCCCAAATAAGAACAATATTGGCGATGGTACGGGTTTAAAAATTTCCTGTATAGGCATTACCACACTTATTCACAAAAATCAATCTTTTCTCTTAAACAACATACTCTGTGCATCTTCCATTAAAATAAACCTAATCTTTGTTTCTAAATTTTACAAAACTAATCGAGTTTCCCTTGAATTTTTTCCCTCTTATTTTCATGTGAAGGGTCAACACACGAGGGTGCCTCTACTTCACGAGGAGAACATCTATGATCTCTATCACCTACCACCATCCGTCGACCTACAAATCCACCATACCACCATACCACCATATTTTCCTAGCTGCATGACATCAAGGCCTTGGTCATCCAGGTAGTGCCAATTCTTTACTCTACTCTCGGTGCTGACATTTTAAATTCATATTCTTCCTCATCATCTAAATTTCATTGTAGTTCATGTGCACTCGAATAAAAGTCATCATCTTTCTTTATCGGAAAATTCTTTGCATAGTTCTCAACCGCTTAAACTTGTCTACTCGATGTTTGGAGCTCAACGGATCTATCAATTGATGGGTATAGATACTATATAATTTTTGTTGACCATTACGATAAATCTATGAGAAAAAAATATGATGTATCAATTCTATTTCCACGATTCAAAACACTAGGAGAAAAATTCCTTCGAAATCTCCGATTGCCATTTAGACGGATAATGGAGGCGAATACCTTGCCCTCAAATCGGTTCTCAATGCCTATGGCATTTCTAACTTTAAAACACCCCCTTCCACCTCCGAACACAATGGCACTTCGAAAGAAGACACATACACATTGTAAAGACATGTCTTACTCTGCTTCACACTCGCTTCACTACCATCCTCTTATTGGTCCCTTGCATTTCAAATCGCCGCCTACTTGATAAATCATTTTCCAACACCGAGTCCTCAAATACAAGTCACCTTACCAACTTCTCTTTCATCGCACTCCCAACTACAATCATCTAAATTTTTTTGGATGTTTGTGCTATCCGTGGCTTCGTCTTTATACAACATCCAAACTTTAACCACGATTAGTACCTTGCACCTTTCTAGGATATTCCATAAATCAATCGAGTATATAAATGTTTTGATCTAATCTCAAAATTTTTTACATCTCGCGACATGTCGGCTTTGTTGAAATATCTTCCCAATGCGACGAAGCACGCCTAGCATCATTCTCTCCTGCAAGGACAAGGCTCCTTCATCATATATCCATCTATAAGTCTTTCTTTCCCTATTTTCACTTTCTCAAAATTTTCAACTTACAACTCTAGCCAATCACAACATGAAACTCCATTGGAAAATAATCTTGTCCCAATAGCAACCCAACAAACTACCCAACCAACCCGTATCGACCCTTTGGCCAATTTTAACACACCCACACCCGACCCATTCCGAGCCCATGCATCCATAACCCATATATCCAGTCGAAAGTCATTACACCGGATCTCTCTCACCCACCTCGACCCATCAACCCAATCACCGTCCCATTCAAAACATCACGCCAACAACATAAACCGACTTGGCCTCTCACCATACCCACCCCACATCACAGACTCCAACTCATCCGCCTTATCAACAAATACACACATAGACACAATAAATCCTTATACCCTAAATCCGTCTTCTTCCCCATTCTTATCTATTGTAACAAACACACACCCACTGTCGAAACTATATCACCGGCCATTCCAGCCCCACCCACTCATCACTTTAGATCATCCCAAGCTAGAAAACCTAACTCGAAATACTTCCACTCCCATTTTATAAACCACACCACAACACACCCCATGCCCACTCTCTGTGAACCAAAGACCCAGTCATCTGCCATGTTAGATCCCAAATGGCGTGAAGCCATGTTTGAGGAGTTCAATGCACTAATGTGGAATGGAACATGGGACTTGGTTCCCTCTAACACATAAAATCTTATCGAGTGCAAATGGGTTTTTCGAGTTAAGAGAAACCTAGATGGAATAGTGGCCAAATACAAAGCTAGATTGGTTGCTAAGGGGTATCACCAACGCCTGAGCCTTGACTTTTTAGAGAATTACAGCTCGATGTCAAAACCCACCATAATTAGATTATTGCTTAGTCTAGTTTTTGGCAACGCTTGGAAATTGAGGCAATTTGACATCAACAATGGCTTTCTTCGAGGAACTCTATCCGAGGGTGTTTACTTGTTACAACCCTTAGGATTTGTACATCCATCTCTTCCTAACCATATATGCAAATTAAAGAAAGCAATCTATGGATGAAAACAGGCACCTAGAGCACTGGTATGAAGAACTCAAAGCTTTTCTACTACAATTGAGCTATCAAAACTACGTGGTAGATTCACCTCTCTTTATATATAATAATGCTAGTGTTTGTGCCTATTTTCTAGTATATGTTGATGATATTATCTTGACGAGGAGCAATGATCACTATCCGAAGTCCTTCATCCGGTGTCCGGTAAACCATTTCTTCCTTAAAGATCTTGGTATACTTGTACCAATTTCTAAGGGTTGAAGTTATTCACACTTGTAGAAGGTTTGTTCTTATCTCAACATCGTCTCATTGCGGACATATTGGAAAAATTCTCCATGACTAGGGTAAAAGAGGTAGCTACACAATGTGTCCCTCCACGCCACTCCTCCTTAAAGATGGTACCTCACGGGTTGACCTGACTTAGTATAGGAGATTAGTGGTCCGTCCGCAATATCTATCACTCACACGCCCGGACGTATCATCTACTATGAACGGACTTTCTCAATACATGCACTCCTTAATGGAGCTTCACCGGACCGCTCTAAAGAGAGTTCTTCGATACTTAAAGGGAACAATCACCCATGGCCTATTTCTACGCAAGGATACTCCTCTTCAATTGAGTGGTTTCGGTGACTTAGATTGGGGTGAAAATAGAGATGATGGTCGGTCTACTACTGCATATATCATTTATTTAGGGTCTAATACAATCCCTTGGAAATCCAATCGTCGGAAATCCATGTCAAGTTCATCATCCGAAGTTGAGTACAAAGAAGTAGCAAACACGACCACTCACATCATAAGGATCCAAAATCTTCTCCGGGAATTAGGTGTCAAACTCAAAGCAGACTAACTATTTTCTACGATAACACGGGAGTAGCATATCTATATGCAAATCCTGTCTTCCATTCACGCATGAAACATATATCTCTAGATTATCATTTTGTGAGAGAATGTGTAACAAATGGCAGTATCAAAGTTCTTCACATCTCCACCAAAGATCGACTCGAAGATATACTCATCAAGGCCCTAAGCAAGCAACAAGATACAGTGCATTGAGATCTAAGATTTGTGTCACCGATGGTGCCTCCATCTTATGGGGGGTATTATGGATAAACACAAAGAATAGATATGTACAATGTAAATTCAAATGGTAGTTCAATAGGCCTAGAACTCGCATCCTTGTATAACTCTACATCCCCGTAGAACTCGCATCCTAGTAAAACTCTACATCTTTGTACACTTATATATACCGTAATGTGAACTTAATAAAAGAATGCCTTTTCCAACTCACATTAAAATCAGTTCATTAGGGTGGGAGGCCCCTCCCCAAAGTGTATTTTTTATCGGAAAAGAGCAAAATATAAATAAATAATTTTTTTTAAAAAAAATAAAGATATTTTTTTCGTGAAGAACAAATATTTTTATATGTATCTTCTCTCTATTTATATAGTTTTCCTAAAAACTTTCAATTTTTTTTTCCTTTATATATAATATTCCTAAAAAAATTAAAAGAAAACTTTTATAATTTTTACATGTGTTTTAAATGCTGTCAATAATTTAATTTATTTGTAGATAAAATATTAAATTAGTCAATAAACTATAGCCCGTATCTCCATTAATTCTTTAGAATTATGACTCAAAGTCCAAACTTTTTCATAAGTTACGTCAAATATAATTCAAGTCATTTGATTGACTCCAAACTTAATTATTAAATTTAATAATTAGTATGCTAATTTTATAATTTTAAATTTATATACTGCATGCACCAATATATAAATATTAGAATTTAGAATTTATTTACCTTTTAAGATATTATATATATACATACGTAGGAGTATATTATTTCTCCGAGGTTTAATTTGGCTTGATCCCCCTTCCCAATTATAATCATTTTATGTAAAAGTAAATTGACAATAAAACATATACAATTGGTAGTTAACGTTTGCTATCCATGATTAATCTTTTCTCCGAAAGTAAAATTGATAAATTGCTTAGTTAGACTAAATAATGAGTTCCAATCCTCCCATAGCGAAAGAAGTGCGGTTAATAACGTGAGTGATACAAGTAAATTTAATCTAATTAACATGTTTCTTTGATAAAACAAGGTTTGAAGTTTAATGATTATAGTTTTTTTAGTTATATTAATGTAATATAGATTGCTATTTTTATTGTTATAATCTAAAATCTATTGGACATTCCAATAAAAAGAAATGAAAATTAGATTAAAATATATGTTTTTTTTTTCAAAAGGAATAATGAGAACAGCGGGCGCAACTTTAATTGTCTGTCGCGTCCAAGATGTAAAGATCCATTTACTCCATACCAGCTACACACACTTAGTTTTCAAAGAATATATCCAATGTTCGGGGAGTATTTACATGAAATCATTGGCTTCATGCGTTATCTTGTTTTTGAACAACACGCTTTAATGAATAAATTTGGACATTAGTTACGTTTCGCCTTCAATTTTGTAGATTCTTGAAGGATATAAAAGGCGTCGCATCACCCGCAGCATATCCCCTCACAACCACCAACGTCCACTACTTTTATTGAATCTTTTTGAGGTCGCACTTTTGAGTTTTTTAGATCTTTATTTTTTAACTAAAGTAATTTTAAACTTAATTTTTAAAAATATATTTTTTTGTCGTATGAGATTTTTTTTTCATTCATATTATTATTTTTAATTATTAAAAAATAATTTCATTACATTAAATAGCTTCATTTTTATTTTAGATGTTTCATTAATTAAAAAACATAAAAATATTAAGATCTCTCGTTCTTAAAAAAATAAAAAAATAAAAAAATTCCTTCTTTTTGCCAAATTGTGGCTGGTGGCTAGCTTTAAACCTTTTTTTTTTTTCATCTTCTTTATTCCTTTAAATTTCTTTTTAGATCTATTTTCTTTTATCATTTTTTTTCGTTTGGTGTTCCTTATTTTTCCCTTCTCTTTGTATTCACTTTTATAGATTATTTTTCTTTTTATCTTGAAGAAGATTATTGATTTGAATGTATTTGATTGAGCTCATATGTTATAGTTTCTTCGAACCTTACTTCTTTATAGCTGCTTGGAAATATGAGATCGATTGTCCAACTAATGGATTAGCTTACCAAGTCGAGAACTAGTACAAAATAATATTAGAATGTTAATGCATACAACATGACCTCATTCTCGCTTAAATTAAATAAGTTGGTTTGGTAGATCTATAGCCAAAAAAGGAGAAAGCAAGCATGGAATCTTGAAATCTTTCCTTTTTCTTTAGAAAATATTGATTCCACCTTCTATGTCCGAAAAATAAAAAATAAGGTCCTTTCTTAATGAAACAGAGAGGCATCGCTATTGTTTGTTTTGTCCATAGCCTTAGTCCTACGGAAAGCCAACAATATAATTGATTCTCTTGATAAGTCCGGAGAACGAGACTTAGAATCTCATTGCTTAGTTTTTTTTTTTTTTTTTATCAAATATAAATAGTTTCTACAACACATAAAATTTAACTAGAATGCCTACAAGACATTATACAAGCCACATTTTTAGAAATACGATATTGCTACCAGTTGGACCTTTGTGGAACCATTTTAAGGACATCACTTCAGCTTACTATAAACGAGACATCGGGTTTCTTGCCATTCCTACCTTCCCGTGTTTTGGCAATAAAGTTCCAAATTGCAACCACATTGTTTGGATTTAGAACTAGCAATCACAATCGATTGCCAAAATGCCAAGCAAAGTCACTTGAAGATGGACAAACTACAACATATATCATAATTCAAAAAAGATAGACATCCATCTTTTTTTCAACAAAAATATTTACACCCTATCAAAATTGATGAAATTACTTTTCAATTGGTTTAGATTCTCTTCTTTTTTTTTTTTTTAAAAAAAAAAACGCCTTCAAGCATTTAGAGTTGAACCGGTTCTATTTCATAAAGTAAGGGTAGCCATCCATACCGAAAATTCTTGAAGCCTCCCGAATAAACAAATTTATAAAGTACGTAACATAATTATCATATTCTTCATCATTTCTTTGTTGTGGCACCTTAGGCACCAAAAATGAAATTTGAGAAATAAGCTCTTTATTTTCAGCCTCGCTTTCGATTTATAAATATCCAATACAAACTTTCTTATATCTAGTTCAAAGCGCCTAGGTCCCGCCTTTTCAAGCGAATCTAGCAATAGCAAGCATGGTGTCCGGCTTGCAACTCGAGACTCCCACTAAGGTGATAGAAGATCGAGAGGCTCCAATGACTCTAGCAAGCGGTGAGAACAAGAACATATTTCTTTAAAAAGATTTGCATCCTCTTGATCCATGGTAGGACCTTTCCTCTAAAGGATGCTTTGGTGTACAAGTTAAACCATAAGCCATCAAAATAAGTAAAGGAAGTCCTCTTATCTTTTGAGAAGCTCCTCGATATACATTCGAAGTAGCAGTTGAATACTCCACTATCTAGCTTTTTCTTTTCTTTAATCACTTTTATGATTGCATTCTTGGGCCTAATTCTCCTCTTTAATCGTGTACTACAAGGGAATGTGCCCAAAAAATAATGTTAACTTGAAGCTCCTTAAATCTATACCTTCTTATTTAGTTATGTTTTTTTGCTAGTATATGCGTACGCTATCATATGTATCCAACATAACCGATGTTTCCCCATCCACCCACAAGTATTTGAAATAGGAGATTTGGTGTCGGCAGAATTAATTTCATCTTTACGTTTTCTCTTCGCCATTATTCTTCCCAAACAAAAGGTGGATAATTACTTCTTCTTTTCAAAAAATTAGATTTTATCTCATTGCTTGGTTTAACAATTCAAGAAAAAACTATTCAAGATTTTAGTGGAATCAAAGCAAAAGAAGATACATTAGAATAATAGAGAAGGCGGGACACACGAGTCCTATTTAATCAAAAAATTACAAGCATATATTTCTAAAATCTAGGTCAACTCATTCATACCATTCACTAATGATTCAATCATATTGATACACATTAAATAACTAATGAAATATTTTCATTTTATGATAATTATAAATTAGTGATTTTTGGTCATGTTATGGAAAACATAAAATTTCTCAAATTTACTTTTCTAAACCTTGAGCCTAAGGCTTTGGGCCTTTAAGGCCAAATGGGCTAGCTTGGGTAAGTGCCTAGCATAGGCCTACACAAGCTATTGGCCGCTGCCTAAGTATCGGTTTGGCATAGGCTTGGCCATGTGCTTAGTGCGAGCTTGGCCTTGCGTGCCTACCGGCGAACACATAATGTTGGCTTGGCATGTGTATCGGCCAATGCTCGAAGCATGTGTATCGGCCAATGTTCGGCATTGGCCTACCATGCCCATTGGTGTTGCTAGCCATTCTTGATAGTAGAAACGTGCAACACCCTTACTTCCAAAAAAAAAAAAAAAGGTTTTCATTCATAAAATACTAGAAAATACAAATCTATAATCATAATTAATCTCAATTGACAATAATATAATTAAAGATTTAACCATGCTTTGATACCAATTAAAGGAAAAACATCCTATGTATGAGTGAAATAAATAAAAAATTATTTTCCTTTATCTAAAATCCTAAGATCATTGTTGAATCATATAATTATCTTAAAAGATCATTTAGATCATTACCTCTTGAAGTATAGTAATAAGGTAGCACATTGAACCATCTAAGTGTCCGATCTCTAGTGAAAATTCACACAACTTAAACAACAACACAAGAGAAGTGAGAAAAGCACAAGAGTGCTATCTCTAATTTTTTTCCCCTACGAAATTTGTGCAACTTGTTTTTTTTAGGAGAAATTTCAGCCAACAATCTTTCTTATGAGTTATGTGGCTTGATGCATCTTATTCTTTTCATAAACCCTTTTTAAGTTTATTGAATTTTTTTCCAAAAGTTCTAAAAAGTGCCCTCCGCTTAAAATATTTAAGCCTATTGGCTTAACACCTTAGGCCTAATGACTCATTAATTAAATGGACTTTACAAATAAGTTGGGTCAAGTATTTTAGGGAGGCCAATTTAGGTAACTATTTCCTAAATTATCCCTATTATTTTAGGATTAGGAAACTATTTCCTAATATTTCAGAAATTCAATTTAAGAAATTATTTCTAAATAATTTCTCAATGCTTAAAGAATTGAAATCAATTATTTCAATTCTCATTTTTTTTATAATTCTTTACTTCTCTTTATTTGAGTCAATGTCAAACTTATGCATGTGACTCAATAGGTTTTTAGATATGTTGAAAATGTATCAAAACGTAAAAGACAATTCTTTTATTTCTCGATACATAAATCAAGATTGATCTCCAAGCAAGATATCATGACTACTTAATTATCAATAAGTATTACTTAATCTATAATAATCTTTTATGAGCATGGTTTTCATATAATTCAATCCTTATGCCAATTTATCATAATATGATCTCGAACTTGGTTTGTTGTCCGTTTGATTTTGATCATACAAGTTTTCTTTAATCTTTGAATATCTTAGCTCTCTAATAAACCAATCATGTTCTATTTATATACTTTCACCGTGATCATAGAATATTGAGCGATTTTAATCATAGTGCAATATGACAACTCTTTTATTATATAAGGAAAGACATGTCCGAATGTCTCAACTCTCAAGTAAACCAATCATGTTTTATTTGTATACTTCTATTGTGATCATAAATTCTTAAGTAGACATTCATCAAAGAGCAATATGATAACTCCTTTATTATATAAGGAAAGACATGTCCTTTCTTAATTATCCACCTATCTTTCTTAGATTCTCGATGTGCCTAGCGAATCGCTCACATATAGTTTCTTATCGAGCCCTTCGTAATGAATATTAAAGCACATCAAATCTATAATAAGATAACCATGATAATCTTAATTCAAAGGACTACTTGTATCTATCTCGTATGAGATTCTCATAGACTATACCAAATGAGTTCGATGGTGAGTCATGTCTAAGTGATATGGTGTCTAGCATTATTCACCTATATGCTTGCTTAGGCATCACCATACTAGTAGGTGTGAGATCTCCTATTGCTATCCTATAGTAAAAGCATAGCACACATAAGTCTTATCATATATTATCAACATCTAATTTTCACAATGCTATGACTTGAGATATTTAATTATATTCATTTAAGTGCATTGGTGTTTGTCTCAGCTTTATTAATCAATCATTAAAGCAATAAATATCATATGAACTTCTATCTAATTCAATCAAGTTATAAATAACATGAATTAATAAAAAGAATTCTTTATTAATAAATATCCAATGATAAAATATTTAAACCATCCAAACATGTTGGATCTAGGACACCTAAATTAACCCTAAGCATGGACTTGAAGTCTAAATTATCATTACACTTTTATACTATATTTGTACAAGTTATACAAAGGATCTTGCATATAGCTTCTATGCTCGAAGTATTAGTTCAAATATGCTTTTAACATTTTAAACATGCTTTCAAAGATTGGTTAACCCATTATATATGTCCAAGTTAGAGATAAATTCTTTTAGGAGTTTAGTGTTCAATAGATAAAGAGCAAACAAAGAGGTTTGAAACCCATGGTCCGATTTAGGTTACCGAATGATAACTAATCTCCCTCTCGTCTTGTGTTATTTGGGCTCAAGACTAACAAAAATCATTTCATAATAAAGCCTTTCTAGTGGTGCTTCCCTAAGCGATCTCTTTGTGATAATCCAATCCCTTCTCTCTTTTTGATTTTAGTGATAATCCAATCCCTTCTCTCTCTTTCTTTATCCTCGCTTGGACCTTTGGCTAGTTATCGTTTTTTATAATGGTGAGAGTGATTTTTTTAAAGGTTATAAGAGCGATGACTTTTTTTCTTCCATTTTAATTTTTTCATGCCTTTCTATCTCCTTATTGAAAGGTATTTGCATTTGAACGTTTGAAAAAAAAATGGTAGAGGATCTTCCTCGATGATAAAGCTAAAAAGCAATGACTACCCTCATAAGTGTCGGCGATGGAGGCGGGAATGGCTTTGAGTTGCTCTTGCATAGCTAGAAGTGCTTTTGTCAACTTTTGAACTTATTGTTACATTTGAAAAAGGTTTACCGACTTAGTACTTAAGCTAGCTAAGTCCACCTTAACACCGTGGTCTAGTGTTAGGTCCGGTGTTTATTAATTTTAAGTTATGAAAAGATTTAAAAGATGGAGAAAGACAAACCGAATGCTAGTTTATAGCTCAATTTTTCATATATAGTGTCGTTTACGAGGTTGTGAAATCTTAAAGAATGAGGTGGCTTTTTCTTCCATTTTAATTTTTTCATGCCTTTTTATCTCCTTATTGAAATGTATTTTCATTTGAACGTTTGAAAAAGAAGTGGAGGATCTTCCTCAACAATAGAGCTAAAAAGGCGATGGATCGCCTTTATAAGTCTTGGTGATGGGGTAAGAATGGCTTTGAGTTGCTCTTGCATAGCTAGAAGTGCCTTTGTCAACTTTTGAACTTGTTATTACAATCGAAAGAGGTCTACGGACTTAGTACTTGAACTAGCTAAGTCCACTTCAACACTCGTGGTCTAGTGTTAGGTCCGGTGTTTATTAATTTTAAGTTATGAAAAGAGTTAAGAGATGGAGAAAGACAAATTGAATGCTAGTTTTTAGCTCAATTTTTCATATACGGTCTTGTTTATGAGGTTGTGAAATATTAAAGAATGAGGTGGCTCTTTCTTATTGGTTCATGACGATAATGACAGCTATAAAATAAGTCTTCCTAGTTAGATGGAGGACTCTCTAAATTAGTGTATATAGAGGGATGACAACCTAACAAGATATTAGTGCAAGGAGGTAATAAATGATAGTATTATGAGAGTATAATTTTGAAGAGGAAGATTGCGTTTTTTACTTTAGGTCTCATCTTTGTTTATATAGCCACAAGACATGTCAAGTTGCATAAAGATGAGGGAAAAATTGTCTATCCTTTTGCTATCAATAACTTTTGACTCTTATTACACAATAAGTGTATTTAATATTGATGGGTCATTGTTGAAAAAATACGGTGTCATCATGGTTGTTGTTGGTTGGATAAAAGTGACTTTGAGGATATAGTTGTATTATGAGGTAATGGTTACGAAAAAGAAGATCCAACATTTTTATCTTAGGTCTCATAATTTTTTATATAGCCATAAAACCTATCAAGTTTCATAAAGAGAGGGAAAATATGCTCTATCTTTTTAATGTCAATAACACTTGATTCTTATTAGGTGATAAATATATTTGATATTTGAAATCACTATTGAACAAATATGATAATATCATGGTTGTTATCGATTGGATAAAAGTGACCTTGGGGGTATGATAATATTATGAGAGAATGGGTTTAAAGAAGAAAATCCAACCTTTTTACCATAAGTCTCATGGTTGTTTATATAACTACGAGACCTGTTAAGTTTCATAGATAGGAGGGAAAAATTGTCCATCTCTTTACCACTAATAACTTCTAATTCTTATTAGAGGATAAATGTATTTAATATTAATGTGTCATTTTGAACAAAGATGATGACGCCATGGTTTTTGTTGATCCAATAAAAGTGATCTTAGGGGGGTATTTTTATTTAATGAGTGTACTATTTATCACTTTAATCGAAAGGAAGCAGGTGCAAGTTTCTTAACTGTTGGTCGACAAGCTAGAAAACCCTGATTGCCTGTCAAAGAGTTGCATGGATGGGCTGTCGTTTATCCGGTGTTTTTCCAGATTTAATGATATTGACGTTATTGAATAGAGTCCAACAGCCATGAGTATCCGGAGTATACCATACTCCATTTCATTAAACATGCTTCCTAACCCATGATAATATGGTAGTATATACGCATATCTAGTTTTTTTTTTAGCTTGGCTAACTTAGCCGTACATTGATTAAACTCTTTTGGAATTGGATTTAGACAAGACATCAACACTTGATCTAAAACACAATACAATTTAACCTGATATTACATTTAATAAATAAGATCCTAAAAACATGATTAAATAGGAACCTCATCTGAAATTTAGTCTATTTGAAAATTAGTCTTTAAACTTTTAATTTTGAGTTTAACCTCCTCTAGATTTTATTTTTTAAACTTAATCCGTCCTTTAGTTTTCTATGAAAAATAATGATTACTTACATGATGAAAATTATTTAGTAAGATTTATTTAGCGTTCTTCTAAAATTTTTGAATTGTTCTGGATTATTTTTTATATTTTTGATGTTTAAAAGATTAAAAAAACTTTTTGACCTGGCAAAATTATGAGATTTTTTTTTTGAAACTAATTGAATTTTTTTCAACATGTGTAGAAAACATTAGTAAAAAAATTAAGAATTGAATTTTTTTAAAAGGAAAAGTGATAGTTGAAAATAACAGAATAAATTAATTCTAAAAATAAAAAAAGCCCAGGAGAGATTAAATCCGCGATTGAAAATTCAAAAATTGATTTGAAATAAACTAAAGTTTAAGAAAAATTTGGTCCATTTAACTGAAAAAAATGTATTTATAACTAAAACTAGCTCATAATAAATCAATTGTTACTATGTATGATTTGAGTTTTAAAAGTGGTCGTATCAAAGAAAATTGCTATAGATACATTAATTCAAAAATAAATGACTTACTTAAAATTTAAAAGGGAATTTTTAACTCTTTATACCAAAAGTAATTTAAAGATGTTTTGAACATTTAAAAAAAAAAAAGAAAGAAAGAAAACCAATGGAATCAGTAAGAAAATATCACAGTTCAGTTTAAATGTATCCATTAATATTTATTCTGAAAATTAGATTATGCTGAGAGTAACATCTACCATGAACAGATGACATGACAGAGTGTTGGAGACAAAATGAAAAGAGATAGGAGAAGGAAAATGACTCCTTTGAAAATACATTTGGATAAATATCTTTAACACGTTAAACCCGACCCACCAAAACCAATTGCCCAATGGTCCACTTTAATTTGGAAAATAACCCAATACGGATCTTAGTATTCTATAGCCCAAGTCGTAATTCCCATTCTCTACAGGCCTATTACCCAAATTCAAAGCCCAAAAAACTCCAACCCTCTCCCCTCCCTCTCCCTCTCAACTCTCAGCTAACCCTGATCTCAGCCCTTTGGCTTCCCTGGCTGGCGGCATCGGTTGGGTCGCCATTCCAGTGAATCGAACTTTCCTGAAACATTAAAAACCCAAATCTTTTTCATGCATAAGCTGTCGTGTCTCTCTCTCTTCACATCCTCTCTTACACTCTACCAGAAAAGGATCTCATGGCCTCTTGTCGTCCACCATTTTAAAACCCTTGCCAATACACACACCAAACCCAGACGCACAAAAGAAAAAAATTCAATCCTTTTTCTCTGTGAATGCAATCATTAATGGATCTGATAAGGCTAACAAATACCAAACCCATCTTTATTTACTCACCAATTATACGCCCTTTAACTTGTGTTACAACAACGCTTCAGAAACAGAACCAAATACACCCACAAGACCCTACTTCTCCAGTATTGCAGCCACAGACAAATCCACAAGCTTTAAATGAGAGTTTACTCAAAAGGGTATCTTCTATTCTTTCTAACCCATCTTTAGATTGTGCTAAATGTAAAGAATTAGTTCCCCATTTGTCCCCTCAAGAGTTTGATTGCTGTTTTTTAGCTGTTAAATCAAATGTGAATCCAAAAACAGCTTTAAATTTTTTTCATTTTGTATCCGAGACTTGTAATTTTCGTTTCACAGCCCGATCTTATTGCCTTTTGATTCGGTTGCTTGTTGGTAATGATCTTTTGTCTCCTGCAAGATTGCTTTTGATTCGTTTGATTGATGGGAAAGTTCCAGTCTTGTATGCGAGTAATTTTATGAGTAGACATATTGAGATTGCACAAATAATGGCTGATTTGAATTTGGTGTCTGAGTCTGTTATTCAGGTTAAAATTTCTGATTTACTGGTACATGTTTATAGTACACAGTTCAAACATCTGGGTTTTGGTTTTGCTGTTGACGTGTTTAGTTTGTTTGCGAAAAAGGGTTTGTTTCCATCACTAAAGACATGCACTGTTTTGTTGAGTTCTTTAGTGAGGGCTAACGAGCTAAAAAAGAGCTTCGAGGTGTATGATTTTCTCTGTCTCGGTGGTATCATTCCAGATGTTCACTTGTTTAGCACAATGATTAATGCATTTTGTAAGGGACGCAGAGAGGGGGATGCTATTGGGTTGTTTTCAAAAATGGAAAAGTTGGGTGTTGCTCCAAATGTTGTTACGTATAATAATATCATTCATGGCTTGTGTAAGAGTGGGAGATTAGATGAGGCATACCGGTTTAAAGAAAAGATGGTAAAAGAGAAAGTGAGTCCGAGCCTAATAACATATAGTGTTCTCATTAATGGTTTGATTAAGTTGGAGAAAATTGATGATGCAAATCGTGTTTTGAAGGAAATGTCTGAGTTTGGTTTTGTGCCAAATGAGGTTGTATATAACACATTGATTGATGGGTACTGTAAGATGGGAAATATTAGCGAAGCACTAAAAATAAGAGATGATATGATATCGAAGGGGATATTTCCCAATTCAGTTACTTTGAATTCTCTTATACAAGGTTTTTGCAAGAGTGATCAAATGGGACATGCTGAGAATGTTTTAGAGGAGATGATATCAAGAGGTTTACCAATAAACCAAGGTTCGTTTACTTCGGTTATTAATTGGTTGTGCCTGAAGTTTAGGTTCGTTTCTGCATTACATTTTATTAGAGAAATGCTGTTAAGAAATTTGAGGCCAAATGATGGGCTGCTTACCACATTGCTAAGTGGGCTGTGTAAGGCTGGAAAGCAATCAGAAGCAGTTGAACTTTGGTTTAGGCTGTTGGAGAAAGGTTTTGTTCCCAACATGGTGACCTCAAATGCCCTTATTCATGGGCTGTGTGAAGCAGGTAACATGCATGAAGCTGTTAAGCTTCTAAGACAGATCCTAGAAAGGGGTTTCGAATTTGACAGGATAACATACAACACACTCATATTGGGGTGCTGCAAGGAGGGGAAAGCCGAGGAAGGCTTTAAACTTAAGGAAGAGATGGCCATGAAGGGTATTCATCCTGACATGTACACTTATAATTTATTGCTACATGGGCTTTTTAACATGGATAAGATTGAAGAAGCTGGTAGGCTTTGGGATGAGTGCAAAAGAAGTGGTCATGTTCCTAATGTTTACACATATGGTGTTATGATAGATGGATACTGTAAAGCCGACAAACTTGAAGAAGGTGAAAATCTATTCAACGAGTTAATTTCCAAGAAACTGGAGCTAAATTCAGTTGTTTATAATACTCTAATCAGTGCATACTGTAAAAATGGGAATATGATTGCGGCCTTTAGACTTCGTGATGACATGAGAAGCAGGGGCGTCCCGCTAAGTTGTGCCACATATTCTTCTCTGATGCATGGACTGGGCAATATTGGCCTTGTTAATGATGCAAAACACCTCCTTGATGAGATGCGAAATGAGGGCTTGTTGCCAAATGTTGTCTGCTATACTGCAGTCATCGGAGGTTATTGTAAGCTAGGCCAGATGAATAAAGTCAATGATGTCCTGGAAGAAATGTCTTTGCATAACATACATCCCAATAAATTTACCTACACAATCATGATAGATGGATTTTGCAAATTGGGCAAAACAGAAGAAGCAGCTAAGCTTCTGAACGAGATGACAGAAAAAGGAATTGTTCTTGATGCTGTCACTTACAATGTCTTAACAAACGGGTTATGCAAAGTAGGGAAGGTAGAAGAAACGTTTAAAGTATGTGATGAAATGTCTAGTAGAGCAGTATGTTTAGATGAGATTACATACACTACATTGATTGATGGGTGCCATCAGCAGTCAACAGCCACAAATCAAGAATGACCAAGAACCCTCTTAATGTCGCATGCCCTCCTGAATGAATATGTGAGTATAACTTTAATTTTCAAGCCTTCATGTTATGAAGGTTGCACTTTTGACAAGCTTGATTTATGTTTCTAAAATCTGTTCTTCAGAGAATCCAATTGCTTGAGATGGGGAGCACTATTCGCTTCTAAATTTAAGAATTATCATTGCATTTGGAGGTTCGTGTCCTAATCCATCTACAACAATTCTCTTTTCTGCTTTTACATCATTGTTGTCATCTCGTTTGATCTTCCTGATTTTTTCCTCATTCTATTTGTTGTATTAGCTTTTGAAGTCTCCATTATTATTCTCAGAACTAATTTGTGAATTGTAGGAGTGCTTTGCTGTATAGTCATGAGGGGAAGCTGCTCATAGACCATGGGACAACATTACCTCATTTGCATCAATAGGTTTGTCTCAAGGCATTTTCTAACAAAATGGTCATTCCTGTCACATCTCTGTTCATCTCATCTTTCGATTGCATCTTCCTTTATTCTGGTTGATTATGTACAATTTGACAGTTTCAAGTACATATGCTATTTTGCCTGTTCTTGTGATGGATGCCTGGTTTCCAAAAACAGTTCTCTTGAAAGCTTTTTTTCACTTTCCACAGTACATGGTTTTTTTTTTTTTTTAATTCCCATTGTCATTTCCTTCTCATTTCAATTTGCCTTTAGCTTAAGTTTGTTTCATTTTTCATTTTGACAATTTTGATGATAGCTTGAAGAGGGACAAGGGGTTGTAACTGGTTTTTTGAGTAACAGCAGGTAGCAGCAACAGCTGTTGCAGTCATACAAGAATAGCACCCAAAGCCATAATTATAATGGTAATTCATAGTTATTTATCATCATTAAAAGCATTAAGTGGAAGTGAAATGAAGAAGCAAAAAATTGGAAACACCAACAATAGGACATAAATAAGCATGAGAGCTTCCACTTTGCGCAATGTTAAAACCTCATCTATAACACTCAATGAGAAGGTTAATGGTCCAATGTCAACCTTATTCCTCATCTTGTTCTCATTCATGTCATGCCCATCTTTTCATGTTTATTGGTTCTTTAATTTAGCTTGTATTGCTACTCATCATGCCACATCCTTAATTTCAGTCTTGTTGATTTGAATATAAAGCTCTTGTAAGATGCCTTGAATGTATAGAGACAACTTTCAACTACCTTTACTTCTCTTTGTTGATTTTGTGTTTCTGTATCCAGTTATGTTGTTTTAATTGTGTAGGAATGAGATTTATAGAATGATTGAGTTTACAATTTTTACATTCAAGAGTATTGTCACAGTAAATAAATAAAACAAGAGTGATGGTAGAAAGGGGTCATAGCCTCATCTGTGAGGCCATTTTAGCATAATATCTTAATTGCATCATGCCAATCCTGTTCATAGCATTATACTTCTGTTTAGGGACAATGCCTAAATTCCAATTGAGCTTATTTTAAAAAGTAGCATCATTGAGATGATATTTAACACCATATCGTCTTAATAGTTATGCAATTGTCAGTTAGGGTTTGCTTCATTTATCCATCTTCTTATTATTATTATTTTTTTTTATCTCATCCATCTCGTTTCGACATCAATAAAACATTGACTGACCACAGAAGGTGATTTTAATGAGAGAAATACAATGTTCTATTGTTTGATAGTGAGGTTCCTTATCCAATGATGCCTTGTCCCCTTCTGTGTACGTGAGAATTTAATAAGGAGAAATATCTCATTTCCTTAGCAGGTCAATCTTGTGCTGGAACCTGTGTATGCATACATGGCATTTCCTTTAGTTATGCATTGGAGGGGTTTTTCCTCTATATTGCATTTCCATTTTGGCTTCTTTTTGAAATCTATATTTGTTTGAGTTGCCAGGCCCATAACTAAGGACATGAAGAGAACCAAACAAGAGAAGCTTCGCAGACTTGTATTTAAACAGGGCATGATTTTGGAATAAATCATCAGGAAGGAGATTTTTTGAGGGAACTTTTTGAATTGAAGTGAATACTTTCTTCTTGGTAGAGGAAAGAGATGGTTCGAACATCTGGAGATGAAAGGTCTATTTTACTTGTGCTAGATTTAGAAAATAGGGAACCCAGCGATATGCTCTTTAGCTGAAATTTCGTGCTCTGCAGGCGAAACCACTCAAAAGCATTTGGGAATTACATTGGTGGAAGCAGATACAGGTGCAATGCCTTGCCTTGAAGGGCTAACAATATGGAGATATTAGTTGTCGGACATCGCCACGAGGAATTAAGTATCTTGCCACACTCAATGGTTTTTACCTTGATAATTCTTCCAAGAATTTAATCAACACCATTGGTTAGACCATAGCAGGACTATCGGAGAACTATAGCACATCCCTCAAGTCCTCTCTAGCAATAAGGTTGGAAAGTGGATTCAACACCGCCTCAAGATAGGTTTTGCCTCTTTTCTTGAAATAGTCTATGGTTGCTAATAATTGAAGCTTCCTTTCTCTCTTTCCCTCATATGTAACGATTTGCTAATTGTAAAATTAAAGACAGTTATGCTAAAGATAACAGAACAAAGAAATCCCCCAATTGTAAAATTAGAAAGTGGAGAAAAAAAATTTCTGATGGATCAGTTTTATTCTTTGAAAATATTTGATAATTCTTGATCCCTATCAAAGGTTGCTTGCGTGAATTTTGTGAAGATGAGAGAGGTGTTAAAGCCCGGCGAGAGACTGAAACAAAATTATCCATTTATCCTGGGTGGTTTCTCTCTTCTGTTGCCCTAGACAGCGTTTTGAGCTCTGAGATGCTAATTCTGAAACTCTTCTATTCTTGCTATGAATATTCGAAATTCGAAAGACAAGTTGGTCCATTTGGTGGGTCGCATATCGTATAATCTCCCTGACCAATCACATATGATATTGGATTCGGATTCAATATTTGCTTCCCGATGATGCCTTCCTTGTTCATAGTGATGTTGCCTGTGTCCTGTTTTGCTCCATTTTCTCAAATAATAAAAACAAGATTTTCCGTTCGTAGAAAGGCCCATTGAATCTATAACGCATAACATGGTAGCCCACCCTTAATTTCTTGGCGGAAGCATCCTTTAATGCTTGAAACAGTGCCAAACTTTAAGAAATTATTACGGAGTCTAGTCAACTGCTTAATAAAATTCATTTACATTATATTGTGATGAATGCATTATTAATTTTTTATTCTATAATTATAACTCGAAAAAAAGATTTATATTTTAAATATAATTTACTTAAATAGATGATTTTATACAAATTTAATAATTTGTAATAGTTTTATTAATTTGATCTATTATCTTAGGTAATGAGCTAGGTGGTGTACCAATTTCTTTCAAATATCGAGCATTATCTAAGGTTTTGTTTGATATGATTTTTGTAAATAGATTTAAGTTGTTCTTTAACTTTCGACTCAAATAAAAATCATATGCATGTTCGGTTAGAAGTAATTTTTAATTTAAATTCAAAATTCGTTACAACATTGAGTTAGAACTTTAATTTAATCAAGAGATAAAATTTTTAGATTCTAACTTATAATATATTTATTCCTTAAAAAAAATTACTTTGAATCATTTTTTATCAGATATACTTCCAATTTAAATTCATTTTAACTCATTTTTATAAAATTGCTTATAATAAATAATTTTTGAATCACACTCAAAGTAAATAATAATAATAATTCAAAAATGATACCAAACAAACTCTAAATAAGCCAACTGAACCCTAAATTAAAGCATGTAGAGATGTATAAAATAGCTTCAGAGTCGAAGAAGACTAGCTAACATGGGTTGAAAAATCGAGTCCGACTCTAAGGCAGCAGCTAGCTCTGGACACAAGATAGCGGAAACAGTCCATGAGCCATCATTCCTAGCGCTTGGCCTCTGGTTCATGTAGCTAACTCCAATTTTTTCTATCGTGGTACAAACCGTGCCTAGCACAGGACTACCGAATCCGAAGTCCAATTCAGCAACTGGAAACCTTCTTCCTGATGACAAAACAAGGGCTGGACCTCCTCGGCCTAATACAATGTTAGATAGCATCAAACCAGGCCTGTGGCACTCAATCCAATCAATCAAATCCAAGAAATGTGCCTCATTAGTGACCTTCGATATCGCATCATGAACATTGCTCGCGACATCTGAGATAGACCCTTGCTTCAGTTCTGTAATGCTTGCTTCTGCAACAGCTACAGATAACACATTCCCTATATAGTTTGACATTAAATTCTGAGCTCCATGAACTCTACCGCGTCCGTCGACTAACCATCCCATCTTGCACTTTTGATGCCTTTTATCAATGACTGTAGCCATGGTCTTCCATATATAGGCTGAGAAAGCCTCAATTTTAGTTCTCTTATTACCGCTGGCACAAGCAAGTTGCTGCAGCCTATTGATGCTGGAGACATCAACATGATATAGGCGCTTGAGAAGGATCTGGGTTATTGGCATGTTTATTATTTCTTCTATGGTGCACTTCACAAAAGTTTGATCCAAAGAAGGATGATAAGTCGGAGGATAACGCGCTCGAAGGTTTCTCCTGTGATCTGGCATGCAAGATATTGGCTTCTTTTGAGCGATTTCTGACCATGAAACCAGGAACTTACCAAAGGCACTTGCATCGCCGAGTGCATGATCAAAGGTGAATGTTATTGAGATGCCTCCACAAGTGTAATGGGTGACTTGGACTTGTAAAGGAAACTCAGTGTTGACAGAAACGAGTTTTCCTTGCAAAGATTGATTAAGATTGTAGAAGTCTAGTTCTTTCAAAGAAATGTTGGCATGACCTTCTACAACCAAAGCACCATTATCGTCACATATGATCTCGGGTTCATTAGTATTTGGATTTTGTACTATTTGACCAGAAAATGGATAGTAGTAACTGAGAGTTTCAGCGAGGGAACTCTTTAGGGACTCAATGATGGAGGAAAAGCAAACCTTTTCAGGATTTTGGTAGAAATAGAAGTATGTGACAGGAAATCGGCCAGAAAGTAGGTCAAGGTTTGATAGAGTGATTATTTGTGGCTTTGGCAAGGGATTGATTGCTTTGACAATACTTTTTCCTGTGAATTTCACCGCAAACTTTCCATGCCCCGTAACTTCTTCCATTACTAGAAACTCTAAGCTTGCTCAGGAAAGAATAGCTGCACTAGATTTTTCATCCCTCCTAGTGGTAGCTTTGATAGTTACAAGCACAAGTCACAACACACTTATATAAGCAGTATCTGGGTGCTGTCTAACCTATCAGATAGAAACACTTGGAATTCTAACCTGAGTTAAGAAGTAGACATGTGTTGTTGATTCTTTGAATTAGAAGACTAGAATTATCAAGCACCATTATTTTACTATTATTTCTAAAAATATTTAAACACTCAAAATAACTACTATTTATACCGAATACAACGACCTAAAAATCTTTTGGAAGGGTCTTTAGGTTGTCCAAGATGCGTAGACCGCAAGATTGGAAGGCAAGTATATCATATATAGAACAACCGGAAATTAATACCTTGAGCACTTATAGCATTATGCAATCGAAATAATTTGAGAGACAAGCAACTTAATTAATAACAAATACGTGAATTAAAAATCACAAAATTGAACGTAAACTAGAATGGATAGATACTAAATCTAAAGTTCTTTACAAATGATTGCAAATGCAATAACTTACGATCGTAGGAATTGATGAGCAAACACCAATTGGAACTTTAAACGTTAAGAGATGAGATATGCAAGTGTTGCAATGAGAGTGAAAAATAAATAACATATGAACTATTAGCTTATTGCTATTGCTTACTATTATCGCCTACCGCTTCCTATCTACGGATTATAGCCTACCGTGTTTCAAATGCTGAAACAATTTGAGAGATAATATTGATAATTTGCAAATGTATTGTTGTTGTATGTATTTGTTCCTTTTTGCTTTGTTGCGGTTGGTATTTATAGCATTAGTATCCTTTTATATTCTTTTATACCGGCCACGTTTATAAGCTACTATACGTCATAACTTTCTACCTTGAGCTGCAATGCTCTATGTATGCCTTAGGTTGTAATGCTTCATATCTTCCGGTATTCCCACTCATTCGTTGTAACGTTTCCATATCTCTTTTAAGTTTCTAGCTTGTGTTTGTTTGAATCAATTGCTATTGTATTCATATTAGTCTTTCCTTTTGAATAAGACTTGATTTCTCTTGTCTTTTTCTCATAATGTAATTCCGTTTAGAGTTACTAGGTCCACAAAAGATCTTGTAGCTTAGTGGTAGTGGTCTCTCATAAGAGATCACGGATTCAAATCCTAACGTACTAGTTCGTTAGGAGCTTTGGATGTATAAGTAAAAAAAAAAAAACTATTAGGTCCTATTGTATTTTGGATATAATACTCTCTCTATGTTCTTGCCATATAATATATGATTTTTTTCGTGAGTGGACCAAAAGCTTTTCTTTGTAGATTTAATGATATCAAACCCATTAGTCATAGCTTATCGTATGGGCTTTATGATCAAAGTCTCGTTGGGATTTCTTTGATTTATTATGCTACTAAGCTCCAATCAAATTTTGTTTTCACATCTCGCCCCTTTCATTTCTTGCACAAAATTTCTTTCTATGCATAAAAAATGATTACTTTGGTGCTCATTTGCTCGACTCCCCTTAATTCCTAAAGTTACAATCAATACTTAGAACCATAAATCTTTTTTCTCTTGTCATATTAATAAGGAGGAGTTTCAACTATTTTTTCACTCTTGAATCAATTGTTCTCAAATAACAAGTTTTTCTTATTCCTCTATTTTTCGTAATTCTTTTTTATCTTGTCATATTAATAAGGAGGAGTTTCAACTATTTTTTCACCGTTGAATCAATTGTTCTCAAATAACAAGTTTTTCTTATTCCTCTCTTTTTCGTAATTCTAAGGTTTTTTATTTCCTCTTTTCAAACTTTCATTTGTATTTTACTTTCTCTTTAATTTTTTTTTGAGCTTCCATGGCTTCTAGCAAATCTGCCTCCAAATCTATGGTTTAAAGGTCTTATTTCCCTCTTCGCCTATATCCGGCATCACTTTGGAATTGGATCGTCAATGTAGGTATGCTCCTTTGTATCACCCCTTATAGGTCCATTCCGCCTAGTTGTTTCCCCGCAATAAGGTTTTTCATGCTCCCATCCTCGATTATTTTGATTCTAATTCTTAGCCTTATTTTCTAGGTTCTTCTTTATTTTAGGGCTATGGGTTTAAGGATGTTGTCCATAAAGCACAAAAAATTCCAAGGTATTTGGTTCCTAATGAGAACGTTGTGATTCTTTATGGAGTAGAGACTGTTCAAAAGGTGACATGAATGTAATATTTATAGCCTAAAACCCTCCTAGAAATATAAATGTATTGTATGGATATTTTATAAATTAATAAAAAAATGTATTTATTGAATAAGTGAGTGAAGTCGTGGATTGAAATTACATGGTTAAATTGCAAGGATTGGAAGTTAAGGACTAAGGTGTTAAGTACCAATAATGTGAGGGCCCCACTAGTTGAATCTTAGGGACAAAAGTGGTGGAAAATCTGGATTTTCTACATTTTTAAAAGAGAAAATCGGGGAGAGAGAAAGAAAAAGGAAAAGAAAAGGGAGGGAAGAAGAAGATAAAATCTAGGGAAAAATAGAGAGAGAGAGAGAGAGAGAGAGACTTCACCCATCCAAATCCACCATTTCACCTATTTGGTCAAAATTTTAGGGAAGGAAGAAGCCAATGAGGAAAAGAAGAGAATCGACCAAATTCTAAGTGAAGTAAGTATAATTCCTCACCTACATCATAAGAATTAGATGTTTGAGGTGTTAATTAGTGATAAATTATGGTTTACTTGATGAGGGCTTGTAAATGGGATTATTGAGAATTATGTGTTATTAGTTGAATTGTAATGGTCTTGTGATGTGTATGTGTTTATGATGTACGAAAATGACATTGAATATTAAAATGGATTGAATGCTCGTGTTTGTATGATGTCCTTGTTCTAAGAGTAAGGTGGCTATGAGAACTTTAAGGCATGAATAGATTGAGTTTGTGTAATTTAATGCCTACCAAATATTTGGTAGAATGCCTTAGAGACATTTATTTGGTCAATTAAATGAAATGATAGTTGTCTCTTTTTTGGCCTATTTTGGCCAAACATGGAACAAAAGACAAGAGATGTAAATGTAAGAAAAAGGTTTAATATAAGGTTTATAAGTACTAATGGCATGGAAAAGGTTATATGTGTACGAAAAATGATTATTTATAATACTTATTGTGATTGGTCATGTTTCTAAGAAAAATGTTTGATTATGATGCTTTCCATGACATTTAATTGTTCATGGTGTATATTCCAATTGCATACATACTTATGTGTTTGGATACATCATGTGTGCATATGTACTTGAGAAATTTTAAAAGGTATGCATGATGAGGTAACGTTCATGGCGTTGCATTTCTTTTAAAAATGCATATGCACATCATTATAATGAAAGAGGAATTTTATTCATGATTTTGATGAAAGAAAAAGGAAAAGGTTCTAATGAAAGGGAAAAGTAAAAGGCTTTCATGAAACAAAAAAGAAAAAAAGGTTTTATTGATTTTCATAATTTTCATGAAAATTCCATTTCTTCATTAAGAGATTTGGTAAAGGCCTCGACGAGTTATGAGATTTGGTGAAGGCTCCAACTCGAAGAAATTGGTTCACTTCTTCATCAAGGAATTTGATAAAGGCCTCATTAGTTGGAGGATTTAGTAAAGGCTCTAACTAAAGAATGTGGCTATGACATTTCTTCGTCGAGGGATTTAATAAAGGCCTCGATGGTGGACGATTTGGTGAAGGCTCCAACTGAAAAATGATAAAGGAAAGGGTGCACCCAAAAAGGGAAAAGGAAAAGAAAAAAGGAAAAATAGTTTCAAAGGCATGAAAAGGATTTTATGAAAGATGCATCATATGCATTCATGCATAAGGACATCGCATGCATTGCATGAGTTATACTTACCGAGCATTCTCTTGCTCATCATTTGCTTTTTATGGTGTAGAAAATGATAAAGATAAATGAAGGGTCATTGCAAAGACAAGTGATGGGCTTGCCATTTTGAGTGCTTTGGCTTTGGGGTAGTGAGTATGGGAATTTTGTATAGCTTAGCTTGATATGTGATGCATAACAAGTTAGGAAATTTTTAATATGTATGTAGACTAATTAAACTAACATTGTCTTTGTATAAATGAAAAGGTTAGTTGAATGTTAAGTATGATCAAGTCAAACTTATTAGTCCTAGGATTTGGTTGCTTGACTAATATGGCTAGGATGATAGAATTGATTATATTATGGAAATGCATGCGACTTAGGTTAAAATGTAAGGAATTTAAGAGGAATTTCAAGCTTAAACTAAAGGTAAACTAAATGGTTAAGTTGTTAATAAAAATTTTAAATGAAATGAAAAAAAGTATTTAATAAATCCAAGGAAAAGTTTTATTCTCAATTTTATGTTTAGTGGACCTAATATCCCATACTCAAAGGGACCTTATGTATGGATAAATGCATGCTTTTACTAATGTACTAGTAAAGATAAGGTAAGAGGTCGCTTGGCTTGTATTCATCGCACGTTGAATGTAGGTCAATGCCGTAATACTCTCGATCTATCTAGGTCCTAGGATGGGGCATTGTAGAGTGGTATTAGAGTAGAGCTTACCTTATCTATTTAAGTTAGGATGACCAAATAAGCACATGCAAGTCATGTCTTAATGGAAAGTGAAATTCAAAGGTATGTAATGCTTTGTAAGTGTATGTTTTCATTGAATGATATGTGATGAATTTGTATGTTATGTTATGGAAAGTGAACAAAAAAGGAATATTGAATGAAAAGATAGAATTATCACCAAAATTGGAATGATATTAAAGATAATATAAGATATGCTTGCATGATATATATATATATATATAAAGAATGCTCGTATGAAAATGTAAATTGGTCTTTACATGGAAATGGAATACGAGCGTGATGAATTTCATTCCAAACTATGACAAGAACAATCTGTTAGTATAGGTGCCTAAGATCCAAGCATGTTTGGATGAGTTTGAGTTATTGTATTATGACATCATTTATTGTATTAT